CTTCACACTACCCCATTGAGAGTGCCTGTGCTCCTCTGACAACATAATAAAGCCTTGCCAAGAAGGAATCCTAACTGCCTGGTGAGATGGCCAGGAATGACCAAATGTCTCAACAATCCCACCCTTCAGGTTTTGGGGTTTTTTTTCATTAGCACTGCCCCTTTATGTCACTATTGTGAACACTTTTGCATGGATCTCCCTTCCTTTGTTTGGCTGAACTCTCTACTATGCCAGACAACACTGTTTATCCCACTGCATGAATTTCCTTGGGAAGTGCTTTTACAGCTCTGGAAAACACCCCAGCATTTGCTGTGCTTCTACCACAGCACACGAGGGAGGGAAATTTACTGCAGAATTCATGCTGAATAATTCATGCTCTTTCCCATTTGGTGCATCAATTTCTGAAGAAAAACAAAGTCTGATTCAGCTTTGCAAAACTGAATTACAACACGACTTGCAAGATTTTTCTACTTCACGTGCAAAGCTTCTCTGAGTGCAAAGCTACCAAAAACCCAAGCAGCTTTAATTACAGTCCCATCCCAAAGGCTTTGCACTAACTCCTGCATGTATGCAAGCTCATTCCCTTAACCCAGCAGCAGTGACTGTTTTCACAGCCCAGAATGGTTAAATCCCTGTAAATGTCAAGTGCTCCTATTTAATGAGTGTTCTTCCTGCTAATGCTTGGCCTTGGAAGTTGCAGTGCAGGCACAAACAGTACCAGCATCACCATTTTTAATGCCACCATCCAGCTCTGAGGCTTTGGTGGTCCACAGATCAGCACTGACCTTCCTGTATTTGGGCTGTTGCTCTTGCCTGGACATTTAAACAGGAAAGAGACTCACTGAGCTGATTCACAGAAGCTGAGACTGAAAGAGCAATCCTCTTTTATTTTTTTTTAATAGTACAAAATAGCAGGAAACATAAATTATATTTTGGGAATGCGAAATGAGCTGGTAGTCTTGGGGATGTTGAACAGCAAGCTAGAAAGGCCACCAAAAATGGACAGACATACATGTGCCTCTCAGCAATGAGAAACACCTGCTTTTTTTCTTATTTTAGTTCCATATCAGGAGCTCTGCCCTCCAGCAAGGGAGTGGGATACCCCACCCTGCTGCTATCAAGGCTGTACCTCTTTGGCCTCTTTCTTGGGTGCAAAGACTCTCAGTGAGAAGTGCTCCAAGCCAAACAAGCAGCCTTGCAGAATTTACAGCCCACAGGAACAGTGCCCAGCTTTGGAACAACAGTTATTTAAGACAGCACATGAAAAATCCAAATTATGCCCCTGCTATTGAGTGATACTGGCAGTAACTTAGTGGCCATGGTGAAGGAACTTCTTGAGTTTCAGGTCCTTTGAGACCTTAAAGTTGTCCAACAGTAAAGCCAATTCCACACTTGGTAAAGAAAAAAATCTTTAGCAAAAAACCCCATTCAAGCAATTGACTTTGTTTGGCTAGAAAGCTTGAATATTTTAATTTATAAACACTTGATTTAGGTAATGTGTTAAATACTCTGTTCTGAGGCTCTTAATTTTGACATATGGCTTTGAGAGACCTCTCATGATAGCCAGTGTGGAAAGCAGCATTCAAATCCAAAGCTGCAAAACCAAATCACACAGAATACACATTGAATTCACTAAAATAAAAGAAATTTGAAACTGAACACACAGGCAGTGCTGTTGTGTACTAAAGTCAACTGCCATGAAGTCTATGCACTATGTATAAAGCATTCAGCAGCCTGAGGGAGATGTGTGCCTGGTATGAGCTGTAAATCACTATTTGTAGGAAAATGTTAAAATACATTTTCTCTCAAAAGCAGAAAAAAAAACCAAAAAAAAAAAAAAAAACAAAAAAAAAAAAAAAAAAGGAGAAAGAAGAGAATTTGTAGGAAAATGTTAAAATACATTTTCTCTCAAAAAAAAAAAAAAAAAAAAGGAAGGAGAAAGAAGAGAAAAATGGTTCTAGCAAATTTACAGCCATTTATATGTCACTTTATTTATGAAGTGACTGGATATAAAAAGCCTCTAAACTGACCCTCCTACAAGCACTTTACAGCCAGGACTGCAATTTCCCTTGCAAATTGCTTTACTCCACACTTCTCAATGGAAAAAATCCCATCACTCTGGCAGTGAAGTTTCCTAAGTGAATTTCTGTGTAACCCATGCCTGCAAGCCACATGCCTTTGCAGAGGTGGAAAAAATCCACCATTGAGAAAACCCAAATTCCACAGTGGGAACAGTCATTACTGAGTTATGTAAGTTCACAGTACCACAAGCATTTCAATCAACAAAAAGCCTAACTACACTTTTTAAGTGCATATGCATGAAGAACATTATAAATAGCTCAGTTACATGATTTCTAACCAGAGGCTCTATTCCTCAGAGAATTAGCTAAATGATGAATTTGAAATTTCAGCTGTTCAAGCTACTTAAGATCTTCTGTGAAAAAAATGTGGAAAACTCATCATTTTCCTTTCAGCTGAGAAATTCAAAGCTGGCTGTGGAAAGTATTTCAAATGTTCAAAAATTATTCCTCTGCTTGGTTCCTGCCCTAGTTTTCTGAATGCTTACAGTTTGGAAAAAGCAACAATACAGTCATTATATTAAACAGTACACAAATGTAATTCAGCAAACAAATCTGAATGTGCTTTTCTTGCTTTCACTGGAGTGAAAGTACATCACTTCTGTATTTCCTTTCATAGAACTCCCAGGGGAACAATGTGCAAAATACAACCTCCAACACACAGCTAAATCATGGCAGCTGAGCAAACACTCAGGATTCCAGGCAGGCAAAGGAAAGCTCTGTCTGATCTGCACAGTTCCATCAACTGCACAGCGCTTGGGATGCACACTCTGCAAAGCCATGAAGACTGGAAGAGCATTTCTTTAGTGACATTTAGGGGGTTTAAACTATCAGCAACAAATTAGATCTATACAGAGTGCACTTAGTTATGGGAAGAGATTTAAAATTCCAGTAACAATTTATCAGTTTGAAAGATACTTTGTCAAATCCCAACCCGCAAGGTTGAGACGAGCAGGGATCCGCTGCAAGAACTAAAATTGCTTTCATTATTTCCCTTCCAGTATCCCAATAACAATAAAAACATGGAGATCTCTGTCAAAAGGATGATGTTATGCTTCAGACTGCACCAAAAGCTCTGCTGAAATCACCACACAGGGTCTGCAGAAATGGATCTGCTCTGACAAGCTCCACGCAAGCCACTGAAAACCCTTCCATCAAACATCCACGGGCTTTAAAGTCTGTCAGTATTTCTACCCCATGTTTTAGTGCAAACAGTGGGATCAGTAGGAAAAGTCTACACCCAAGAGGATTCAAATACATGATTTTGAGATGTCTTAGACCATTTTAAACATGCTGTTTTAATTTAAAAAAAATAAAACAACAAAAGGGACAGGTTCCTTCAAGCCATCCAGAAATAGTCTTGTTGCCTTCCAAAGGAACCTGGCAATTCTGTAGGCAAAAAAACTACATAAACTAAGGCAGAATTATGAAAAGCTCCTCATGACACCTTATGTGGAAAGATTTTCATTAGAACTTATCTAAATTTCCATAAAAGCAAAACATGAACAAAGACGCTTTGCATTTCGATATCAAATATTTCAAAGAGAAACACGGATGGGTAAATAAACAAGGTAAAAAAACAAACCAAAGCTCTAATACTAGCAGTTCCATAAAAAGCAGGCAACTTTATTCTAGCAAGGACAACGCTACAGATTCATCGGCACGTCGGGAGGACGGCTCCGGGGCAGGTTCCCATGGATACCCCGGGAGGAGCCCAGGGGCCGCCGTGCACACGCGGCCGCCGCTCCTGTGCCGAGGCTCAGTACCTGCGGAGTTCTCGCCGTTCTGCTCATCCCGCAGGCTCTGCTGGCTCAGCTCTGTCACCAAGCGAACCGCCTGCTTCCTCCCCTCCTCGTCGCCAGACTCCTCGGACTCGATCCTCTTATCCACTGCACAAGACACAGAAAGGCAGAGTTAGGCTTCTCCCGGCAGCACGGGGCAGCAGCAGGCAGGTAAAATAACCAGGATTCACATAAACGACTAGGCAGTTAGTAGAAATCCTAAGTTAACTAAATGAAAGGTTTAGTCTTAAATAAAAGGCCTCTTACCCCTTGTTTCTACTTTGATTTTGGATGCACTTTTTCCTCCCATCACATCTTCCTAAAACCAACAATCTGGGAAGAAGACTGGAGGAAAAAGGAAATTTCTTAGATCAATGAAGTGCAATTCCAAAGATTACGGAGATGGAATTAGAACGATTACATTTTAAGAGCTTTTAGAATTAAAAAAAAAATAAATTAATCAGTATCATGTACAATAGTACCAATGACACGAAGAAGTGAAGGCATCGATAAAAAAAAAAATCCTCGCAGATAAGAGCAACCTCCCCAGAAGAGCCTGCGGGTCCCTTCAGGCTCACCGAGCCACAGCCGCGGTGGCCGCCCTGAGCCTGGGCCAGCAGAAGCCGCTCGCTGGCCCCCCTCAGTCTTTCCTCTCGTCTCACCGGGGACTAGGGAACACCAGCGCCATCCTGAAGGCTTCCTTCTCGTTATCTTTACTTTTTACGTCACGGCCATCTCCACAACCCCACTCCTTGTCCCTGTGGCCACGGAGCCCGCGGGCATCCCGCCCCGCGGTGCCGCACACCGGCCCCGGCAGGGCCCGGCCGCCGGACACCGGCCTCGGGCTGGACACACGGGGGCTGCGCGACCCCGCGGGGCCCACGAGCCCTCCCGGCGCGCAGTCGGCAGCCGCACCGCACAGAGGCGGCGCTGGAGCAGCCGGCCGCGCCACCCCGACCCCGCAGCCGCCGCGGCAGCCCCGGCGGGCTCTCACCCTCCATCATCTCCTGCGGCCCCGCTCCGCTCTCCGCCGCCATATCGCTCCTCCTCCCGCCGCCCCTTCCGGAAACTGCCTCCGCCGCCGCCGCAGCCAATCACAGCCGGCCGCTGCTGCCGCGCCCCAGCCAATCGCCAGCAGCTGGCGCGCCCAGGATGGGGGCAGAGCCCCGCCCACGCCCCAGCGCGGCCTCCTGGGAGTTGTAGTTCTCTGCAGGAGGGGTGGAAGGCGGCCGGGACCTGCTCCTCTCCGCCGGCGCCTGGAGCCGGTCGCGTTACGCGCTGCTCTCGGCCTCGTCCTCCCGCCTACAAACCCTTGGGAGGAGCAGCTACCGCCCTGCCGAAGGGCCCGCCACCCGCCCCCGCAGCAGGTCGGCCGCGCTGCCTCGCGGAGCGCGGGCATCGCGTGTGGCGGCGGCGGGAAAGGGGAAGGGGAGGCCGGCGGGACCAACGAGCCCCCGGGCCCGCGAGCTGTTTCGCCTCCTCCCGCGCTCGTGTCCCATTTGCTCCTCTCCGTGCCGCTCTCGCAGCGCCTGTGCTCATTGGTGCCGTGCTGCTCAGTCCCGCCCGCCTCCCCTCCGCGCCCTCCGCCTGTGGCGGCCGCCCTGAGGAGCCGCGGCCGTCACCGGGGCGTCCCGACCCCACCGGTCCTGTCCCCTCCTGTCCCGTCCTCTCCTGTCTTGTCCTGTCCTGTCCTGTTCTGTCCCCTCCTCTCCTGTCTTGTCCTGTCTCGTCCCGTCCCCTCCGGTCCTGTCCTGTCCTGTTCTGTCCCGTCCTGTCCCGTCCTCTCCTGTCCCGTCCTGTCCCGTCCTCTCCTGTCCTGTCTTGTCCTGTCCTGTCCTGTTCTGTCCCGTCCTGTCCCGTCCCCGTGCCGCGGGCCCGGCCGGCTCCCCGGGAGGGAGGGAGGCTGCGCTGCACTCCGTCCCCTCCGGTCCTGTCCTGTCCTGTTCTGTCCCGTCCTGTCCCGTCCCCTTGCCGCGGGCCCGGCCGGCTCCCCCGGAGGGAGGGAGGGAGGCTGCGCTGCCCCTGTCGATTCAAAACTGCGAGTGACTTTCCAAATTTCCCAAAGGTTTTGAGGTCAAAGCCAGCAGAAAGAGGGGAGGGTGCTGAGCAGCTCCGACAGAAAGAAATGTGGTGGTGGATCCTGTCGGTCACTGTCCTGCAGAGGGGTCTGGGTTGGATGCCATGAGGATCGCGGAATCCAGCTTTTCCATGGATAGTCCAGAGGGATGGAGCCCTCGCCCGGGCGGGATGGCGAGTCAGCAGTCAGCTCTGTGATAACCACCCAGCCCGAGCTCAGGAATGAGCGTTTTGCTGTCACTTGCAGGCTTGTGGCTGGGTCGGAAGGCATTGTCACCAGCCAGCCTCGGGCCCTGCTGCGGGCCTGACTCCTGTCCTTTGGTTCTCTTGCAGATGGTGGCTCCCTAGGCGTGGCTGGTGACCAGCGTGATCATGGCTTGTAGCCCCTCTGAAGGGGCCCTACTGTCTTCATCGGCAGGCTCGGTCCTTACCCACCTGAATGACTCCGATATGCTAAGCAGATCCTTCCCCTGGGGCAGCAGAAGCAGGAGAAGTCGTCTCTCAGGGCTCTGTCAGCTTGGAGCATCGCTGCCTGGTGAGCACTCTGAGTTCCCGTGAAGCTTTTGGGCAGTTTCAGGTCTTCCCCTTCCTCAAACCTAGAGATGGCAGCGATATGTATCTGCCAGGATGCACTTGTTCAGTGAGAGCCTGAGCCGTGGATTGCTGCAGGCTGGCAGAGCTCATAGGGAAAACATTACTGGATAGGTGCTCCCAGAACCTTTGAAAATTGTTGTGCAATCACTTGGCACTTTGTAGCCTAGAACAGTGGTGTGGACACAGGTATTTCAATGTCACATACTGTGAACAGTTAATTAAGTGGTTTCCAACTAATGCAGTTTTTAATAAGGGTTCAAGCACTTGCTGCAATTATTTAATGACTGTTTCATTTTTAATTAGAGATATTTCAAAACATTTAAAAGACTGCTAAATAAAAAATAAAAGTTAACAAGTCTGGTTAAAACTTATGAATGTTGGCAAGTGGTATGGACCAAGTTTATGTGTTCCAGATTCAAAAAGATAAATTTATTGGAATACTTTCTGTTTTCTTTGGTTTCACTGATTTGATTTTCTTTAAAAATCTAGAAGCATGTATTTTGGGATTACTTGACAGTTGCTTCAGCTGCCAGCTTTTTTTTTTTTCTTTAATTCATTCCTCTGACACTCCTGTTACAGCAACACTGCTGACCTTTATGTTTTCACAGGGGAGAAGTGGAGCTCTTACTGTTTGTCTTCTCTGACAGCTCGTAACATTTGTACCAGCAAAACTGGTAACTCACGGGCTCGGTGGGATTCTGCCTCTTTCTCTGCTCCCACTGGAAGTTCTTGCTCCTTTTTGCACAGCCCAGCTGGGGAGGAATCCAGCCAGCACCTCCCAGCTGCTGCACGCCCCCCAAACCAAGCCATCTTCACCGTGGATGCCAGCACTACAGAGGTACCTGCAGCACAAGCTGCAGCACTAAGCTGCCCAGAACTGCTCCAGGCTGTGTGAGAGCAGGCTGAAATGTCTGTTTTTCTCTTGTGTGTCTGCAGGAAATCAGTGTCATGAAGGCAGTTTGTAGTGTGCTCCAGCTCAGTAGTCTTCTAAAGGCTGATGAGTTTGTTTCCATGGCAGGCTGTAGATAGCAAAATACACAGAATAATAGCAGAAGCAAGGATTTATTGAGTCTTTTCTCAAACAGGCCAGGGAGTTGTGGACTCCCCATTCCTGGAAATGTTCTAGGCCAGGTTGGATAAGGCTTGGAGCAACCTGGGCTGGTGGAAGGTGTCCCTGGGTGGGAGGGGTGGAAGTGGATGGTCTTTGAGATCCTGTCCCACCCAAACCATTCTGTGATTCAATGGTTCTATAAGAATGCAGCTGTGGAGTGACATGAGGGAAGAAAGGAAGAGCAGAATGTGCTTCAAGCCTTCTCTCTGTGAAGCCAACCCTGATTTTTGTGTTTGTGGTGGCACAAGATTCCTTTATCTGCCCCAGTAAACATTTCATTTGCATTGGGAGGGAAAGAATTTCTCTTTCCTGTCCTGAGAGGAATCTAAAATTGAGTCCTGACACCTTTAAAGAGCTATGCCATGTTTTAGCTTGAGTTGACAGTTTGGTTTGATGACACTGAGCCCCAGCTTGCTCCATTGCTCCAGTGTGCCAGTGAGTGGTGTGATCACTGCACACCTCTGAGCTTGGATGCAATTTTGTGGCCTGCCTGGGCTTTGCTTGCAAATGCAGCTTTGTAGTTTTGCCTCCATGGATGTCATTGTTTACAGTTAACAGAAAGCAGGAAACCTAAAAGGAAAACAATGGCTCAACACCTCTTAACCAAAAAGATGTGTGGGCAAGGGATGTCCTAGAATAAGAATCTATAATGAACTCAGAATGCAAATGAACCACTTTATTTCCAAAAGAAAGGGATATTATAAGACATTAAAGCAACAACCTGAGGAGACAATGAGCTCTTAAAAAAAATTATTCTGTGTTTAGGTTTGGTTTTTTTCTGCTCTTTTCTAGATCTTAGTGGCCAATGACCAAGCTTGCAAGTTGCTTGGGTGCAGTAGCCAGGAACTCATTGGTCAAAAGCTGTCCCACTTGATATCCAAATCTGGCCAAGAGGCTTGGGAAGCAGTGGGTGAGGAGTACCTAGAAACTTCTGAATGTTCATCAGTGGTTTCAGGAGCTGTGGTATGTGAAATGTTCAAGGAAATGTTCTCCACCACATGAAGTGGTTTTGTAGGCTTTGGTTTGGGTTTTTTTTTTTTTTACATTTTCTATTGACAGTTTGGTTTGATGACACTGAGCCCCAGCTTGCTCCATTGCTCCAGTGTGCCAGTGAGTGGTGTGATCACTGCACACCTCTGAGCTTGGATGCAATTTTGTGGCCTGCCTGGGCTTTGCTTGCAAATGCAGCTTTGTAGTTTTGCCTCCATGGATGTCATTGTTTACAGTTAACAGAAAGCAGGAAACCTAAAAGGAAAACAATGGCTCAACACCTCTTACCCAAAAAGATGTGTGGGCAAGGGATGTCCTAGAATAAGAATCTATAATGAACTCAGAATTGTAATGAACCACTTTATTTCCAAAAGAAAGGGATATTATAAGACATTAAAGCAACAACCTGAGGAGACAATGAGCTCTTAAAAAATATATTCTTTGTTTAAGTTTGGTTTTATTCTGCTCTTTTCTAGATCTTAGTGGCCAATGACCAAGCTTGCAAGTTGCTTGGGTGCAGTAGCCAGGAACTCATTGGTCAAAAGCTGTCCCACTTGATATCCAAATCTGGCCAAGAGGCTTGGGAAGCAGTGGGTGAGGAGTACCTAGAAACTTCTGAATGTTCATCAGTGGTTTCAGGAGCTGTGGTATGTGAAATGTTCAAGGAAATGTTCTCCACCACATGAAGTGGTTTTGTAGGCTTTGGTTTGGGTTTTTTTTTTTTACATTTTCTATGTAATTTCCTGATATATTTAACTCCATTGTCATTTGGCAATTGTGTCATTTGCAGGAGTGTTTGGTTTAAAAGTTTTCAGGTGTGGGAATTCAAAGGGCAAAAGATGATTTAAGGGAACCTTGCAGCTGTCATGAGAACCTTGCAGCTGTCAACACACGGAGTCACTTTGACATGATCAAATCAGAACTTAAAGGACATTAGATTTTTTAAAAATTGCTTAACAAGGAAAAAGTCTATTGTGGAAAATGTCCCAATTGTCTGGTCCTTAAAAATGTATTTTAAATTATCTTACTTTAGATTGTGCATATTATAAAGGTTGAAGCCATTGAAATACTGTGAAATGTCTGCATCAAACCAGCATAGTTGGTGCAAAAGAGTGGAATTGATATTTTGCCTAGAATGGGGTTATTTATAAGAGAGCTGCATGAGAAAATCTCCATATTATTTTCTTTTGCTGCTGTTGTGAGTTGTCACTAGAGAGTCCTTGGAAAATGAGCTCATATCCTTTCTGGTGTGTTATTTTTGAGCTGAAATTGTTGGTATCTCAGAGCCTTTTCTTCCTGAATCCTCAGATGGATATGGTGTGGGGGCAAAGATCTAAATTTGCTTCAGTGAGAATTAAAATTAAATGTCTCACAGAGGCACTTAATCTAAGCTGTTCCAAATACTTTATAGGATTCAGTGTGTAAGTCATAAACCCATTCTGTCAAGACAATATAAAAATCATAAAAGGTTTGGGATGAACCTTGCAGGCTATGAGATAAATAAACATTTTCTGATCTAGAAGAATTTCCTCCCAAAAGAAATTAAACTGCTGTTTTTGCAGCTGAAAGTAAGGACTGTGTTACTAATGGGGAGTGCTCATTAGCACCATGGGACATCCCTTAAATAGGACATCTCTGAGAGGCACTTCACACTGAATGCAAGGTGTCAGAGTGGTACATTTATTATTCTGAAGTCTTTATGCCTTTAGACTTCCTGAGGCGAGGAGAGATGATAACAAAAGTAGCAACATTTTGTGTCTTATTTTCAGACATTTTAATCTCTGTATTAAAACTGTATAAAAATCTCTGTATTAAAATGTTTGTTCCCATAAAATACTAGTAAGTAGCCAAGAAATGGTGTTTTTCTGATAATGACAGGGAGGTTCCTTGGCTCAGTTTCTTACTCCTGTTTGAAATTTGTTCTAAGTGACCACAGTCTTAGTAAGTCATGTCTCCATTTCTGAATCTGGTGGGAAGGTGGATGTTCTTGGCCACCTCAGTGAGAAGATCCCTGTCTCAGTCTGGCTGAGGCAAATAGGAAGCAAGGACAGCCAGCGTTGTGTGGTTGTGCTGGAACCAGTGGAGAGACTTTCAGCTCGTGTTTCCTTCACAGCTGAGGTAAGTGTTTTCCTAACAACCAAAGCAGACTGCAATTTGTGAGAGTTTGTGTGGGAGAGGAAGGTGTCTGAAAGGCAGCAGGCACAGGTTGCTGTTTGGGATCTTGGAGTGTGTCCATGGCAGGGCCTGAAAGCAGGGCTGTGCATGCAGGGGGGCTGTGCATGCAGGGGCTGTGCATGGATCTCTGGTGAGGCTCACCCTGATGTGTTTGATAACCCACACAGAAATGCACTCTCTCTCCTCAGGGGACTCTTATCCTTGAGCAGTGTTGGTTTGGCAGGGGGTTGATACTTTGGGGTATGGATGTCCTTGTGAAGGGGTCATCTGGCTGAGGAAAGTTCTGTGAGGAGCACTGGACACCTCTGCCTCTCTCCTGGGCAAAGGGCAGGCTCCCTGCACAGTGATATGGGAATATTTTTTATGCTGGGTCTGCTTTTACTGAGTGAGTTGTGTCCACCAAAGGACAGCAGGATGAAATTTCCTGCCACTGCTTAGGTAACTGCAGAAACCATTGTCAAAGCATTGAGTGGACTGTGGCTGAAATGTTAAAATTTTAACAATCCTGTAAATTTTCCTCCCCAGGGAAAGATTACATCCTGTGATCTCCTTTATGCTCATCTCCATGGCTACCCAACACTGGAAGCAGTAGTTGGACTCCACATAAAGGACCTGATTCCTTCTGTGCAGATCCCTCCTCTAGGCAAAAAAATCCCAAAGGTACAGTACAAGCACCAGCCTCATTCTTCCACAGCCTTCCCATTTGGAGTGCATGCTGCTTTCCCTCCTTACATAACAGAAGAAAGCCTTTGCAGAGAGAAACCTGATTCCCCTGGGAAAGGGTGGGCTGCCTTTTTGTGGAGCTGCTGTCTGAAGAGTTCCTAGCCTGGGATGAGACCATGGCCTGACCTCTCACTGGAATCTGCCCTGGTCAAAGACAGTTTTCTCCAGTCCTAGCTTTGTAAGACACTGTGCTCTCTGTAAGCTTTTTAGGATTCCTTTTAATTCTTTAGCCCATTTCAATCGTGTCTGTCTGAGGAGTGAAAGAATACCCAGGTCTTGCAAATGCCATGAAAATGGGCAGATAGGGAGTTGAAGGAGGCCTTCTTATGAATGCCTAATTTGTTGAAAAGCTGCAGCATAGACTGGTCTTCATCTTCAGGATATTTATTCAGTATTTCAACACTGGATTGCAAACCCTTAAAAAGCCAGATGTTGTTCATTTAGATACTCACAAGATTGGTTCCTTTTCTTTTCCTGCTCCTTTTTCCTGAGAATTCCCATGTCATTTTATACGAACAACACAATAAACCCGAAACATTTGTTCAGTTGGAGGTTTTCTGTTTGACTTTTGCTTGCTTGGGATTTTTTGCTTTGATCAGTCCCTCAGGATCCAGCGAGCTGCAGGCCGATGCAGAGAGGGCACCATGTTTCCTCTCAGTTTAAAGCTGGAAGTCAGCCACGTGGAGCAGGAGCAAGCAGTGCAGAAAGATGAGACTCCACAGGCAGAAGGCTCTCTCCCAGGCTATCAGTACTCTGCTACAGTTGTGGTTTTCTCCACCATCAGTGGCCTGGTCACTGTCCAGTCAGATGGAATCATCTGTGGCATCACGGACAGTTTTGCTCTAATGCTCTTTGGCTATGAGAAGAAAGAGCTGTTGGGAAAGGTAAGATAAGTTCATATCCTCCCAGAAGACTGATACATGTGGCAGCATACCCACTGGAATTGTGGAGCTGTTTTACACTCCTTGCCATCCCAAAACCCCTGTGTTCCACGTGTTTATTGAGTGAGGGGTGGGATGCAAATTCCCATGCTGGAATTGCTGAGACTTGCAGTGCTGAGGAGCTGCTATGGATTTCAAGTGGCCCAAAGCAAGCTGCACAGTTCTGTGTTTTCCACTGGTCATGTGGATCACTTTTGCCTGGGTCTCCATGAGAATCAGACTCACAGACAGGGATTGTCAGCATTTGCCCCCATCCTGTGAGAGCTGGCTTAGCTTTATAAGGTTTTGTTCTTTGTTTTAGAACATTACATTCCTGATCCCTGGTTTCTATAACAACATGAAAAGATGCAGTGGCTGTTCTTTGCCTTTACCTCCTCTGGATGACCCCACAGGGACAGAAGGTGAGTGCCTTTTGGAAGGTGTCAGTGCCTGCCATACAGCTGGCTCTGGCTGCTGTAACCAAGGGGAACAGCAGAGACAAGAGGTTCACCCACAAAAAAGAGAACATTCTTCATAAAAGCAATGCCCCTCCATGCAGTTTTTAAATCAGGTTTCCACTATAACCTCAGGTAAAGAGAATTGTTCACCTAAGACTGAGCTTCTCTCTTTGTTGCCAAGAAGATAAAACTGAATATCCAATTTGGAAATTACAGTGAGAATAGAGAATGCTTTGTACTTAATAAGCACTTCCCTTCCCTTCCTCCCTTCCTTCCCTCCCTTCCCTGCTAGGACCCTGTGGTATTTTAAAATGTGTGAAATATAGCTTTTGTGACTGTATTGCAGCAGAGCTGTAGCTACTTGGGATTAATATTTCAAGGGAAAAATCTAATATTCTGAATTGGCTTGTGCTGCTGGCTAATAGTCAATGTTATGGTTGCTGTGTTTCAATCAGGGAGGCATCACTTATTCCTCTGATGCAGTTTGCATCAGAATTTACCAAAATGTTACTTCTCTGAACACAGCTTGAATAAAGAGAAGCAAAGAAGCCTCATGTTTCCATATCTGTCTTTTCCAGCCTGCTCTGCCCAATGCAGAGAACACCAGCAAGTTCATGCTTCCATCCACATCACATTTTAGGCTGGTTTTGTCTCCTTTTTTTCCCCCTATTTTTTTTTCTCTTTGCTTAGAAATGCAGGTCTACTGAAACCCATGCACCCACTGGAACAAAGAAGAGTTAGTAGACAGTGCACAATTTCTTAGGTGGTTCTTGGATGAAATGATGCCCCTAATCTAGGAGTAGTTCAGTTCTTCAGTGAGGAAGCATTGTTGGCACTCAGCTGTTACTAAATAAACATTGTGCTAGATTCAAATCTAGATTTGTTCACTCATTACCTTCTTCTGCAGCAATAATACTTGGTTTACTTCATCTTCCAGACTCATGTTTTTCTTCTGATCTGTTATCACTGAGGAAGGAAAGAACTTCTTCTCCTCTTCTTCCAAACATGTTTAGACTCTTTTTTTATCTTACAGCTTTAGTGAGTTACATAAATCCAGTCCAAACCTTTCCATTATATGGGTTTGGAAAGGGCTGTGTATGTGTGGTTTGAACTTTTTTTTTTTTTTTTAATGCTGCTGTTGTGTGATCATTTTAATTTCAGTCTCTTTACATTATTGGCATTTTTTAGGCCTCTGAATTCAATTCAAGTAGCTAATGTGTGATACCAATATCTGCCCAAGAGCTTTGCAAGAAAAGCAAATTTTGGCAGCCCTAAAACATGGAGATGCATGTGGTGATTTCTCAAAGCAGAGTGGAATGCTTGTATTTTGACTGTTTTGCCTCAATCAAGCCTTTTATACTCAATTCCTTAGGAAAAAGACAAATCAAGGCAGCTCCAAGTTTATTTTTAATCACTGTAGCATCTGAAGCCTAAATATAAAAGTTTAAATTGGTGTGGTTTTGTTTCCTGTTTGGTACAGAGAGCAGCTTCTTGGCTGCATCTTTAGCACACCTTCTGTCAAGAGATGAAGAGCAGAAATTGGAGCAACAACACAAAGATGACAAATTAATACATGATGAGAATAAACAAAAGAATGGGACCAGTTTCTCTTCTCCTCCCTCACCTCCTGAAGCAGCATCCACCCCCAATAATAGGTAGGCATTTCACAGACTGCATATTCACTTGGGAAAATGAAGAGCTGTGATGGCAATCAGAAGCAAAAACTGATTTTTTCACCTGTTTGATGTCTGTGGGAAGGTGTAGCAAGAGCCTTCCATGCTTTGCTGTCTTTAGAATCTGAGTGCTGTTTGCAAGACAGGCTGAGCTGTCCCTGGCTTAGATTTTTATTTTTATCTACACAAGCTACCATTGTAAAGTTACAGAAATTGCAGCTCTAAAGGGACCAAATGTTTCATCCAGACAGAGTTAATTAGGCTCACTAATCATGCATAGTGGATGTTTATCTCCTTCCAGCTGGTGTTGCACTGAAGTCAGGTTACCTGGAGGGAATTCTAAGTGTTATTCCTTCTGGTGCTTGGCATAACTGTCAGGTCATCCATTAAAACAGGGTACTGTGTTCCTGAAGGGCAGCCATTTTTTCTTGTACATTTCCAGATCTTTTTCCTGTTTCAATGTTATAAATTCTGTAGAAGTACATATGGGATGCTCATGGCCTACCTTAAGTCAAATTTTAAGCCTTCCACATTAACAATTCTAGCTACAACTCTGCTACAGTTGTGGTTTTCTCCACCACAGTAAATATTTACTGTTCATTTTAAGGTATAGACTATTACAGCACAGATCTTGCAGCTTTTTAAAGTGGCTGATGTTGTCATTTTTTTGTGTATGGTATCTCTCATATCATACTTGTAAGTAAGGACTGTAAGTGTTCTGCTTCATTGTTTTTCTATGCTGCTTTTTTACTAATGGAAATGTTTGCAAAATGTCTTGTGCCATGGATGGATTATTCAAGGTACAGTTTGCATTTATTTATTTCTCATGTATTTATATGAACTCTATAAAGCTGTGTTAAGCTTTTGTATTTTCCCTGTTAGAGACTTTTGAACTTGGTATAATTCTGGAAATCAATGAGTATATTAAGCAAACACTTTAGGAAATGTGGTCATTTTAAAATTCATCACACAAGTGACCTGATGTAAATATTCTGCATTCTTCCTAAACAGTTCCATTATTAATGGCCTAACATAAAACTAATTGATTTAGTCTAAAATATTACAGATAGCTGGGCAATAGCTGTTTTTTCAGGGCTTGGGTTTCTGTCAAAGCACATCTCCAAACCCTGATGGATGGAGACATCCATCTCCTGTTGGACAGACAAGGGAATTTCTGTTTTCAGGACTGGAAGCATCCTGCTGAGGCCTGAGCATCTTGACTTACAAGCAGAATCTTGAGCATGATGTTATTAGTACCATCAAGGTTCTTTAGTTAAAAATAGACCATCAAAACATTTATATTAGTTGTTCTTAATGCCAGACCTGCTGTTGTAGAGACATTTGTATAACCTTGTGTAAGGTATATTAAGCAATTGTCCCAACAGATATCCCTGGAGGCTTGTTAGTAGAATATTTTAGGCAAAATCCTCCCAGCCCTGGCCCTGGCTGGCTGGGAAGTGGGCCACCAGAACCAGATGTTTTCTGCACAAAAAGTCATTTGGACTGTTTGATTTGGGCCTATAAAGCTGGACCCCTTTTTTGGGCAAACTTGGAGACCTCACCTACAAGTGGATGCAATGCATGGGATTTTCCCAATTTCTGGGAAGGGTTCTCCAGATCCTCACTGAAAAAAGGTGTGCTCCCCAGCAACTGCAGACTCTGGATGATGGTAAAGTATTTAGGCAATTGCTGATGGTTCTTTCTCAATCACTTTTCTTTCTCCTGTAGTAATGATTAGATGCATCACCTTGCTTATTTTTGCTTGTTGCTAAAGCTGGGTGGGTAATAACCTTATTGTTTTATCAAATGGATTTTTTTCTTCTGTGTTGCCTCAATATTAATAGTAAAATAAGACAATTCTTTCCATTGGTGTCAGTGCCCATTCCATCACCCCCATCAACTGGCAAAACACCTGCCATGTGTATTAGGTTGGTTTTTTTTTTTTTTTTTTTTTTTTTTTTTTTTTTTTTTTTTTTTTGTGGTGGTAAATTGTTTATGATTTATATTTAGAAATTAAGCTAGAGAAGGAAATTATCCATAGGGAAGGAGTGCCATTTGAGTGTACCTGCTCTTGTGTGGTAAATTTGTCAGGATTTTGGATGCCTGTGCAAACAGCTTTCTGCCTCTTGCTTTTAAACTTGAAATAAAACAATTGGTCCAGGTTTTAAATAGTGACCATATTTAAATGGGTGTTATACAGTAGGACAGTTTTCTTATTTTGTAATCATGATGCTGCTGATAACTTTGAGTCTTTGCACTGAGGACAGCCTTGCTGCAGATGGGCTCTCAGCCTTATCCCAAAAGCTGGCTTGACACAATCAGAGCAGTGGAACAGTACAGAACAATGAAAACTTCAGGATCAAATAATTCTCAAAAGATGCTCTCTGCAAGGCTCCCTCACACATCACCTGATCACAACTGTGGGATTTAGGTCAGAACTTGGAGACTGCAGAGAGAAGCTGTCATAGTGCAGGATGTCCTGCAGTAACTCTTGCCTGTTTTCCAGACCAGAGGAGAAGCTAAAAGCAGCAGCCTGTGACCCAGTGAAGCTGCCTTCTGAAGCCACCTGGAACTCACCTGGAACCCCAACAGTGGATGAGCCATGGCCTGGGATAGCTCTGAACTGCAGACAAGACTTGAAAAGCCACATGGTTCCAGGGCAGGTGTCAAAAACAAACTCGATGTGTGATGCAAAACATTCCAGCCTGGAGCATATTGCTGTTGACAACTGCCTGCTGAATGATCCTTCTACCTTCTTTGCTTGTGAAAGAAAAACTGGCTGTGATGTTTGCTCAGGAAATAAACCAGGCTGCAGTGCTTCTGCACCAGGAGCTGCCACAACCTCTGAAAATGTGAAAGAATCTGAACTGAACTGTATTTGCTCTGCTCTTGAGGTACTGGGGCGGAGTGCTGGTGTCAAGGGGAACTCAGACAGTTCTTTAGGTGTTACTGCAGCTCTTGTAGGAGGGTGCTGCTCTGATGCAGAGGACTCCAATGTGCTAATTGGGACCAACTGTGCCTTTTCCACTCATCAGGGAAAGCAGCTGCTGAGTGGTGCTGCCACAGAAGCTGACTTTGGATGGCTGGCCTCCAGAAGGCATTTACAAAACTCTGAGGAATGCTCCAAAGCATTTCCTGAGAAACCTGAAACCCTTGCAGAAACTGTGGGGGACAGCTCCAACAGAAATCCCCTGAAAAGCAAAGGAAGGCCTGAAGAACACTGTCAGTTCCTCAGGCAGCAAAATATGGAGATCAAAGCAACATCAACCCCAGTGAAACAAGAAGGCAGGCTAAATCCAGCAGCTCCTTTGGCCTGGAAGATTCTGGAAGGCAGCTACATTGGGAATTGCTGTCACAGAGATGGTTCACAATTCAGTAAGTGAAACCTTGTCCCCTTCCCAAACTCTTACTGGGGTGCTCCTTTTCAACCACAGTTTTGCAGAATGCAGACAGTTCTGATTAGAAAGTCACAGTGGAGAGGAAGGAAGAAGCATCTAGAAGAAAAAAAGTGGTATTTAAGTCTACCCAGAGGGTATCAGAAAAGGAGGTGGTATAAAATACAAAGTTGGTAAGAAATTAATCCCTACTGAAAAGTCACAAATACTCTCAAAATACAAATAAAAAGTGTGAACCTGACAACTTTTTCTGAACAGAAAACACAAACTCGTGTTTTACTCCAGTAAAACTGTAAATTGCATTAAAATTGTATAATGGAATTTGCTTCATTCACTCCTTCAGCTGCATTCAGTGGCTTGTTGAATAAAATCCCAGTTTTTATGTAACCTAGAGTAACAGTGTGAAACGAATAATCACAACTGGACACTGACAGGTCTCTGCTGGAGGTGGCTGATAGGTGCCTCTAGAACACCTGTGCTGGTGTCAGCCCCTCTGATGATTCTTCTGTTGAATAAAATCCCAGTTTTTATGTAACCTAGAGTAACAGTGTGAAACGAATAATCACAACTGGACACTGACAGGTCTCTGCTGGAGGTGGCTGATAGGTGCCTCTAGAACACCTGTGAGGGGTGTCAGCCCCTCTGATGATTCTTTACTGAGCAGTTCCCCAGATTCTGCACTTTTTGTCAAGGGCTCTGAATTTTGTCCTAAAACATCTGTGGTCTTGTTCAACACTAAAGTTACATTCTAGAATTTTCATTTCCTCACCTGTTTCTCCAGGCGTACTCTTCGAGGTGAAATGTGCAGAGCTGCAGGATCCCACTGTGCTCTTCTGTGTCTGGCTGGTGAAAGACATCTCACAGAGCCAAAAAGAAGCTGTAGCAAAGATTCAGCATTTGCTTGCCAGCCTGGCAAACTCTTCCCAGTCTGATGCTGATCTTTCTACTAAAAGTCTTGGAGAAGTAAGAAATCCTACCTTTGAATATTGAGCATTTCTCTCTTTGTTTGACTGCTAAGCTGAAGCTAAAGTCAAGATTTTCAAATTAATGACATGAGTTGGTGGGGTGGATGTTACTGTTTCTTTTTTTTTTCCCTACTTTTTTTTAAAAATATACTAAAACAAAATCTCAATTGCTATTTTGTAACACTTGTGGTGTGGGGCTTAGTGTAGTTACCTTTCCAGCCTGAACAGTGCAGTTCCAAACTGCAGGACACCCATTAACATATATATATATGTGTATGTGTGTGTATATATATATATATATATGTATATGTAGTGCAGTTAGCACTATCAGTACCAAAGATTCCTCATCTTATCTTTTAATGCAGATGTTCTTTTCAGTATTTATTATTTTTCTAAATGTGATTCTGTGGCTAGTCATTTTTTGCTGTTGTTGTAACCCATATATCTGTACTTAGGCCATCAGATCAGCTTCACTTTTCAACAATTCCCAAAGAGCTGAAGATCTTGAAGGATTAAGAGCATGTGAGGGAGAATATGCAAAAAATTACAGCACTCTCAGTCTTATTGGCAAAGGCTCTTTTGGCTTTGTCTGGAGTGCCAGGAGCAAGAAAGATCAGCAGGAGGTGAAGTATTTCTTGTTGTTCTATTGCAATAATAATTCAGGATGAAAACTTGAGCATTCAGGATGAAAGGTTAGAGCATTTCTTTCAGGATGAAAGGTTAGAGCATTCGTTTTCTGTTAACATTATACTGTCAAAAGCTTCTCTTTGGTAGTTTGGGGTTTTGCTTCGTCTAAACAGAAATCTGTAATGGAAACAGGATAGCACAACATTTGCATTGATGTGTATAAATGTTACCTGAGACAACAGGTGCAGAATAGTTAATTAACTAATTAATGCAGCTAATTGAACCTGTTGAAAGAAGTAGACAGTTATCTTAACAGAATTATGTGTTTTAGTCTTCTGTTACTAAAGAGAATGGCAAACCTCAAAATCTATATTGTGCCATGACTCAAGAATGGGGAGTAGATGTGTTCACATGATGGCACCTTCTCTTTTTCAGGAGAAGTATTCTTTTTCAGGAGTATCTTTTTCAGGAGAAGTGTTTTGGGTGCTCAGAGGGCAAGTTCTGGTGTTTCTCTTGCATGGATGCTTAGTGCTCTTTCCCTTCACTGCACCCATGTGCTGTAGCTGGTTGATAAGAGAGCTGGCTTGCCAAAGCCTTTGGAATTCAGAGCAGCAACAAATAGATTCCATTTATGTGTATCATTTGGCTTCTAGGACTAAATTAATTTAAACACATCCAAATATCCTTAAGCTATTCACATCACATGGGGTCACTTCCATGCCTCTAGTAATATGAGGCACTAACAGACTTTCTGAAATTAACTTAGCTGACACTCCAAGCCATGCTTTGGCAGATGATGCTGAATGCTGCTGTCTGTGCAGGTTATTGTGAAGTTCATCTGGAAGGAGAGGGTGCTGGAGGACTGCTGGGTGGATGATCCTGACCTGGGGAGGGTCACTCAGGAAATTGCAATCCTGCAGAAGCTGCAGCACCCCAGTATCATTAAGGTACAGTGGCTGGGAATTGATGCAGTTTGCACTGCACCAGGTGGTTTGTTTGCATCCTGGGTGTCTGCTGTTCCTCTTCAGGAGTGAAGTGTCCTCTACTGAATCTGTCCTTTCAGGAGAGAAAGGAACCTGTTCATCCTGCTTTGTTTAGGAGGGTGTGTCACAGCAGATTGTTGCTTGCTTCCACACTTTTACCCCAAACTGATCTGAAGATGGGATTCTTAACAGGAAAAAAAAAAAGCTACTTCAAGATAAGATGCATATCTTGGAAGTGTGATGTCACATCTGAACGTGTACCAGTTCAGTAAATAATCTGGACACATCTTGTTTCACACTCTTTGTTTTGAGGTTGCTGGTTTTGGTTTTGGAGTTCTTGGTGTTTTGTTGGTTGGTTGTTTTTTTTTTTTGCTTCAGAAAGAGAATTCCTCTCAGATTTAATTCTGCTCTCAGTTTTAATGCTGTACTCTTTTCAAGAAACACTTGTGCTCAATGAAATGAGACTTTAAAGATTATAATATACACCAATTAAATCTCCAAGAGGAGAACAGTCTTTGTTAAAAAAAAACAAAGGCAATGTTTGAGGATGAAGCACATGATTAAACAGGTCTTTTATTTATAGGTGCTGGATGTATTTGAAAATGATTGCTTCTTCCAGCTGGTGATGGAGAAGCATGGATCTGGTCTGGACCTCTTTACATTTATTGATAATCAGCCCAACTTGGATGAGCCATTAGCGAGTTATATATTCAGACAGGTGAGAGCAGAATTGCTACATGCAGGTGAGAATTGGTTAATGTAAGAACCAGGATTCTGTTCCACTTAATACTGGCTGATAACTATGCTCAATACTTGCAGAACCTTTCCCCACCATTCTGCAGGGCTGATTGAAATGCTGCCTGCAGAAACCTTGTTAAGGTTTACTTAGAAACAACAAAAAAGCCTTTCCAGGACCTTCCTGCCTGTGAGGGTTTCCCGTGGAGCCATGGTCCCTCAGACAGCTCACAGTCCCTGTCACCAGACACTCCATGTAGCACTCACATTTCCTCTGAGGGAGGAGGAAAACTCACAGAAGCTGCCCCAAGCCTGCAAAAAGCCACGTTTTCACTTACTTCAGTGCTTAGTTTAGATTGGTTACAGGAGTAAAGGGCTCTGCTCTTTAAATCAAGAAATTACATTGGATTTTAAGGTGGCATAATGCAAAGTAACTTAGGGTAGTTTCCCATGAGCCAGGAGCTTGCCTGAGGGCTGAATTGTCCTTTGTTTAGTGAGTTAACCACAGCAGCAGTCCCCAGGTAATTTCCCCTCACGAGTTTTGGAGTAAATTCTTGCTGTAGGGTATGCAGGAATTGCTGTGTGTGTGGCAACCCCCCCACACCCTTGCTGTGCCCACCCTGCCCTCACCTGGGGTGCTGATGGAAGATGGAAGCCAAAGGTGTCCCTTTAGCCTCGTGATGGATCAGCCCTTTCCTTAACCCAGCCTGGGGTTTCTAAGGCTGAATTGTTCCCTCAGATCTGCACTGCACTTCTCTGCAGAGGCAGATTTGTATTATAAATAGAAACTTTTCTCCCTCAGCCATCTGCTTTTCTTGTTAAAAACATTGTAGGAGTCAGGATCATCTCCAAGGTGATATCATTCTCATATTATCCTTAATTATGGCATTAAAGCATGAATCGTGCAGGAAAAAGAATGGGGTTTAGGAGTGACTATGTTATTTATACCACACTTGGCTCTCAAATGCTTTGTCATCCTGCAGCATGGAAGGCACACAGTGATATCCTTCTGGAGAAACCAAAGGACCCTCCAAATGAAGCTGGGATAAAAATAGAGTAACTTGCAGGATTGTAGCAGCGAGCTCCAATGCTCTCAATCACATCCTGACTGCAGCATCCCCTCCTCCTGCACATCTGTGAGATGAAAGCAGCAAAGGCTCTTTAAAGTGTCTCTTCCAAGAGCACTGCAGCAATGGTGACAGGCAGGCCTGAGGCCATTTCAGATTCCATAATTAGGATGTATATCTTGTTTAGGCAGTGTCAAAACAAGCCAAAATGTGGCTGTGGGAAAGCTGTGATGCTGCATCAATTATTCAGGGACTCTATGGAGTAATACCTAGTTCCTTCTGTCTCTTCCAGCTTGTATCAGCTGTTGGGTATCTCCACTGTAGGAACATCCTTCACAGAGACATCAAGGATGAAAATATTGTCATTGCTGAAGATTTCACAATTAAATTAGTGGATTTTGGTTCGGCTGCCTACCTGGAACCTGGGAAATTATTTTATACCTTCTGTGGGACCATTGAATACTGCTCACCAGAAGTGCTGTCTGGCAAACCGTATGTCACTCTCTGAAAAGTCATTTTTGTGCCATCACACCAAAAATAACCCTTGTGGGCAGGGCTAGAACAGAAGCCAAGCTACTGTGCCATTGGAGTGCTGCTAGAGCATCCAACCACAGGAAATGCAGCGAGATCTCAGGCACTGCAGTGGCAGAAATCACTGTGAAGATCTGAGTGCATACAAAGTAGGGCACTCTGGTGACAGAAATCAAGTTGTAAAAGCTTGAATATGTACAAAGGTGTTTCTAAAACTGTTGTCAGGCTCTCTCTAGCAAAAGCTGCTTTTTCAGAGAGGTGGAATAAGCAGGTATTGCTGTTGATTGCACCTTCTCCTTGCATGTCTGTGCTTTGTATCCTCCCACTCTCATCCTCTCTGTTCTCTTTTCTACGTGCTTCCCTCTATTTGAAGTTTTGCAGTTTGATCCCTGTTCATCTCCCCACTGATTTTTGTACTCTTTGGGACTCCAGGACTCTTCCCTTGCAGCTTCTCTTGCTGCTATTTTGGATGTGCTGCCTAAATCTTGTCTCTCTTCCCTCTTCTCTCCCTCTCCAAGTGCTCTGTACCTGGCTGGTGCTCTCGTAGCTGCTCCACAATGAACCTCCCCATCCCAGGGGTGGCACTGCTGTAAATGCACATGTCTGGATGGATCTTGCTCCTGCTTCACAGCTGTTTCCATGGGTCTTCCTCTTAAAGCAGTGGGGGGAAAAGCAATGCAGGGAGGAGAGGAAATTCCTGCTGAGAATGAGATGAAAGGTGAAGCAAGCAGCTCTGCCCTGGGAGTTGCACCTCTTACTGTGTGAAGGAACTGGCGTGTTTTCTCAGATGGAGTTGAGATAGTTAATAGTTTTTTCCAAATAACTTTTGTTTTGAAAGGGCTGGGAGGATGTGTTTGCTCTTGCAGTTAAATATTTACTTGACAGTTTTGGCTGATGATGAAGAAGGTGGAGGGGTAAGTTCTTGTCACCAGCTTAGGTATGTGGAAGTCTGGGTGCATGTTACACCTCATACTCATCAACAGAAACTGGTTGGCTGTTCTGTGGTTGCTTTTATGTCCTGGAGAAGGATAATGCAGACTCCTGAAACACATGAGAACCTTCTTAGAATTCCCACAAACTTCCTATGTTAAAATAAAAATTGGAAGCAAGGGCTTTCAAGGCTGTTTTTTGCTTTTCACTTTCTTTAGCATACAGCTCTGTAGTTGCAATCTGAATTAAAGCAAGCTTATCTCTGCACAGGTACCATGGCCCCGAGCTGGAGATGTGGTCGCTTGGCATCACCCTTTACACCCTGGTGCTTGGGGAGAATCCCTTCTGTGAGCTGGAGGAGGCCTTGGCAGCCGTCCTGAGTCCTCCTCGCCCCGTGTCTGAAGGTGAGCTCTTCCCATTTGCTTTTCAAAAGGAGCAGATCTCCTGGGTACGAGCAGTGCTTTTTCACCAAAATAAAGGGGAAGACTGAGAAATTGCTCCCTAATGTGTTCTGTGACGATGTGGAAAGCCGCTCAGTGCAGCTTTTTTTGGGGAGATTTGTCATTCTTTGAACATAGACTGTATGTCTCGTTCCCAACCTGCCTGAAGTCCAGCCTGAGCCATGCTGTGCTGTCTCTGCCCAGGTCTCATGGATCTGCTGGCCGGGCTCCTGCACCCCGTTCCAGAGCAGCGCACGACCCTTGCCAGGCTGGCAGAGGATCCCTGGCTGCGCCAGCCTGTGAACCTGGCAGATTATACCTGGCAAGAGGTGTTTGCCTCTGCTGAGCCAGCCGACACCTCGCTCTGAAGGCTGCTTCAGCTTCTTCAGAGTTAGAAAACTCATCTCTGCAGGTCCCATTGGAAGGTTACCTGCTGATACCCACATATACTCAGTTTATTACTGTTCTTACCCATGGTATTTTTCAAAGATGTGAGGATTTTAATGTTGTTTAAATTGCTCATAACTTGGAAAATATTTTTATTGCTTGGTTTTACGTTTTATAGGTAGTTTCTATATTTTTATGAAAAGTGAATGAATAAATGAATAACGTGTTGGTTTTCTGGAATATGTGTGCACAAAGGAGACTCAAAACCAGACAGGTAATCACATGATTTGGGTGGGAGGGGTGGGTTGGTAGTGTCCTTCTCTTTAGTGTCAGAGTCCGGTCTATATTCAGGAAAACAGTCCTCGGTTTTGATGAGACAGATATTGGGAAGAAAAACTAGATTCAGTAACAAGAACTTGGTCGAGACATGGGTAACAGAAACATTTTGGAGTACAGGCCAGCCGGGGCTAGGCTGCTTGGGAGGAAGTGCTGGGAAAAGGCAACACTTTGGCCGGCTGCTGCAGCGCTGCAGAGAAGCAACAGGACTCGGCTTTAATTAGTAATTAGCTTTGAATCCAGCTTTGGACTCTGCTGTCTCCAACAACGTGCCCTCACCAGCGTTCTGCAGCACCGCGCCCCGGCGGGGATCGGCTCTGCGGGCATCGGAGCGGACGAGGCGCTCTGCCGGGGCTCCGGAGCTGTTTCTGCCCCGCCGCCGCAGCCCTGCGCGCCCGGAGAGGCCGTGCCGGGCCCGGCTCCCACCCCGCCCCTTCTCCCGGCGCTGCCCCGGCGGGGTCGCGGCCNNNGCTCGCCGCGGCTGCGGGGAGCTTGCGGCGCTGCGGGCCATGGGCTTCAGCCAGGAGCAGGCCCGGCGGCTCCTGGCGCTGCAGCCCCGGCTCGGCCCCGAGCACCGGGAGGCGGCGGCGGCGCAGCTGCTGCTGCTCGGGCTGAGCGCCGAGGCCGCCCTGGAGCTGCTGGAGCGGAGCCCGGCGCTGCTGCGGCTGCCCGCGGAGCGGCTCCGGGAGCGCGCCGAGGAGCTGCGGCGCCTGGGGCTGGACGGAGGTAGGGCAGCGAGCGGGGCTGCGGGGGGGACGGCGGGGCTCTGCCGCCGGGCCGCCCGCTGACCTGCTGCCCGCAGGCCGGCTGCAGCGGGCCGTGAGCCGCTGTCCCCAGCTCTTCCACGTGCCCCGCAAGAGGCTGGAGGCGGCGGTGCGGCTGCTGCGGGAGCGCTGCCTGTTCACGGCGGAGCAGCTGCGGGAAGTGCTGGGGACCTGCCCCGCCGTGCTGCTGGAGGAGCCGCGCACCCTCCACCACCAGTTCCAGGTGAGGAGCGGGACTCGCGTTCCTGGCGGAACCGGCTGCGGGAATAGGGCTGTGCCTGACACCCACCCCCCGTTCCGCCGCAGTACGCCTACTTCAGAATGGGGGTCCAGCAGAAGGAGATGGTGAAGGCTCGGCTCTTCCAAATGCCCTTTGCCGAGCTCCGGAATCGGCACATCTTCCTGGAGCGCCGGGGGCTCTACGAGACGCCACACAAAGGACAGACCCAAATTACTAACCCAAAACTGAAGGACATCCTTCAGCTCCCGGAGGAAGAGTTCCTGGCCAGCCTGGCCTACTCTACCCCAGAGGAGTTTGAGGTCTTCAAGAAGCTGCTGGCTCGAGAGGAGGAGGAGAAGGAGGAAGAGGAGGATGTGGATGCACTGTACACAGAGGATGATGATGATTTGGACAGTGATGAAAGTAAAACAGCCCGGGAGTGAGGAGGTGAGGCTCCGAGGTGCCAGCCCTCCCCTGCTGTGCACTCACACTGGGTGCTTTGGGCTCCCACCCCACACCAGCACAAGCTGGGGTGGGTGCAGGGCCCCATGGTACCAGTAAATCCCATCTGTCAAATACAACACCATTCATTCCTCCTCCTTGACCAACTTCTTCAAAAAACAAAACAAAACAGTTTCCATAAAGTGTTTTTATTAAAAAAAAAAAATCAAACAAAAACCCCTAATTTATTTCCAAGACTAGGTTAAAACCTTCTGGCTGCGTTACATACTGAGCCAGCTGTGGGACAGGAGGCTGTGGGCTGCTCTGCTGGCTGGCAGTGGGACCAAGCTGCCTGGTGATGTGGGGACAGGTCCTGGGATACAGAACTGTCCCATGGCAGGGCCACCTCCAGCTCCACAGCCCATGTCAGTGCTGATCTTGGGGCTGGCAGAGCAGTGGTGCTATTACTTTCAGACCACAGCTCCAAACGCTCCTGTCTGGGTTTCCCCTTGCCCTGCTCTTCCTGCTAGGGAGGGCTGGCTTCTTCTCCTGCCCTGGGAAGGCAGGGCTGCTGTGCTTGCCAGGCAGCTGGAGCAGGACCAGGCAGCCTTGGAGGAAAACAAGGCATGTCTGTCCTGTTGGAGCAAAGCTAGAGGTGGTGCAGGAGGGGAGCAGCACACTGGCCAGCTGGTCGTGGCTCCACATTGTCCCTGCTCCCAGGAGGAAGAGGGTGGTGGCAGGAGCGCTGAAACTCCTGGGCCTGTCCTGCTCTGAGAGCAGCTTCCAAGCTGCTGCTTGAGACATGTGGCTGAGCAACAGAGCTCTGCTTGGCGGGAGGGGAGGCCCTCCCCACCAGGATAATCCCACTCTGCTGGAGCCATGACGCTCTATACCATAACTGCGATATATCTCTGGTATGTGTTAATTTATAATATACACCGTGTATGTTAATACACAAATCTATGTTTAACTAGTGTTGTCATACAAACTCACAAAAACTAGGAACGTTTCTAAGCTACACTTTTTCTTTCCTTGCCTGCCCTGCTGCAGTGCTGGGTGCTGGTCCTCTCCTCCACATAACCCTGCAGCACTGGTGCCACAGGGAAGTGCAGTGCAGGGATGGTGGGTGGGGATGGTTTCCTCACCAAGCCTCTGCTGTGCCCTGCACTGGTGTGGAGGCAGCTGCAAGTGTGGTGGCACTGGCATGCCTCAGCTGACAGATTTCACCCTACAGATCACATTTTAAATTCTTTTTAGGTGCTCTATTGGTTTCTGAGCTGGAAATTTGGTTAAAACCAGGGCTTGTTTACAAAGCAAAGAAAAAAGGCAGGCAGTAGAAGCTGCCTCAGTTTCCCCTGCTGGAGCAGAGGAAACAGGAATGCTCCTCTACTGCCCGTGCTCACCTCACCACTCGGAGCTGCTCACCATTTCTAACTCATCTACAGAGGCTGCTCCTCAGAGCATGTCTTTGGGGGCCAGATTTCAGGTGATGGCTAAAGCTTTTTGGTCTGCATTAAACTGTTTTATTGGAGGGTTATAGGTAATTTATAACCTTGGATTACGGAAACAGATTGGTGCAGATGCTGTTGGCAAGGAGCTGGGCTGATCCCTGAGTGAAGCGGGGAGCCCGTCGCTTGTGCAGAGTGGCTGGGGGTGCTGAGCAGGGCTGGCCCCCTCCAGGGGCACTGGTGCTCAGCTGCTCAGGGGCAGAGGGGGCCAGCAAAGGCAGTGCTGGGCCAGCAGGGGGAAAGGGAGCACTACTCAGTGTGCTGATCCAGCTGCGTGTCCCTAATGGGCTGCAGGAGAGGGAGAGGTTGACACCAGGCAGGAAGGCTCCCCTGCTGTGTCCAACCCAGTGAGCAGATCTGATCTTCCTGGTGTTCAAAAAGCCCTTAGATGTGGAAAGACGAAGCTTCTACTGCTTTAAACCCTGTGGAGGAGCAGGAGTAAAATGAGCTGGTGTGCAGTCTGCCAGATGCCCTGCAGCTGGCCTCTTCCCACCCTGTGCACCAGTCTTGTGCTGAGAGAAGGGGACCTACTGCCTCCAGGAGTCCAGCATTTCTATGGCCCTTTCTATGCAGGAATCTCTTGCTCATATGGAGTTGCCAAATCAGGGGGAAGCAGAGCATTGCCTCCTGCTTCTCTACCCCAGCCACAACGAAGAGCCCTCAGCTATAAGCCCTCACACCCCCTCGACATGGTGCCATGAACCAGGGTTGTGCCCTGGCCTGCACCATCTCCCTGACTCCCTGCACGAGAACTGGCCCTGCCTGCAGCTGAGGAGGGCTGGAGCAGGTACTTACTTCTATGGCTTCTTCAGTGTGTGACTGTTGCTTGGCTTTCTGCAAGAGAAGGGAGGACAGCACTGTCAGCCCCAGGCCCTTGGCCATTTGCTCACAGGCAAGCACACAGCACTGGCATCCAAGCCTTGGTCATGTCTGTACCCCTTAGCAGTCCACCCCCAGCCTGGGTGTCCCCATCCATGCTGGGGCACACCAGCCAGCCACATCCTCCTGTCCAGGATCACAGGAAGGCTGGCACATCCAGTGTGCTGCTGTGGGCTGTACCTGCTGCTTGTCCCCTTGGAACTGGTGCTCTCACAGCTCTCCTTGTAGCAGATATCCTGCTGTACCTTGTAGACTCTCCTGGTCCTGCACAGACAGTGGAGATGTGAGTGTAGGGAACAGAAGGAAGAGATGTGCTTTGATGAGAGTGAAGGGGAAGTCTGGGTATTTTCCCTATTTCCTTCCAGCCTGCAGTAGCCAACAATGGGGCTCAATTTGCCGTGCTGCAGCACTGATCCCAGCCAGGCCTTCGTGCCACCATCAACAGGGAGGCCAGGGGCAGAGCAGAAGCCCCCCATTCCCTGGCACTGCATCAGGGCTCCCCCAGCCCTCTGCTCACAGATGGAGAGGCAGCCAGGAGCTGGATGGGATCTGCTGCTCTCTGGGGGTCACACACACCAAATCCAACCTTGCTGCCACGTGGGTGAGTAACTCCAGCATGGGGCTGTCACTTCAGCAACACCCTGCCCTGATGCACAGCTGGGGGTGGCCAGAGGGGCATGCCAGGCTGCTCAGCCTGCACTGGGGAGGGGGCAACTGCCAGCTGGGGTTGGAGACGGCCTTGTGCTCACTCTCCCTTCCCCAAAGCCGAGCTGCAGGGAGACATCCCCAGCTCAGAGCACAAGGGGAAGGGGGGAGCATAACCTGCAGGCAGTACTCACAGATAGTGGCAGGTGCCTCCTTCCCACACTGGGAATGACCTGGTTTCCGAGTACAGCCGTGTGCACGAGTGTGGCACCTTCTTGCAGGCTGCTTGGGGAATAGGAGAGGGGAGCTATCACTGAGCCCATCCCTGGCTCTGCATGTCTGTGCCTTGTGGCAAGGGTCTGGTGAGGCCCCTCTGGCTTCTTGGCCATGGCTGGAGGGCTGGCCTCAACACAGCTGACCCACCAGTAGAAGCAGAGCCCCCAGCCTCACACTGCCTACCTAACTCTCTGGGTAAGGCAGGGGCCTGGCTTGCCAGGCAGAGGCAGAGAGCTCAGCCAGGAGCAGAGACCAGACCTGCACTCACATCTCCTCAAACTAAGAGCAGAGCCCAGCCCCTCTCTCAGCTGCCAACATGACACAGATCTCTAGCAAAGTCTGGGCACTGTGGGAGCCCCTGGGCGCTGGCAGGGTGTGCTGGGTGACCTACACCCTAGGGGACATCCTGTGACAGGGACAGCCACCAGCCTGGCACTGCAGGAGGGAGCTTGGCCCTCGGGCACAGGGGGCACTCACCCAGCTGGCAGACCCGGCCCTTGAAGCCCGGGCGGCAGGCACAGTGGTAGGACTCTTCATCTCGGGTACAGGTGCCTCCATTCCTGCAGGGATTCTTGGAGCAGTTCTGCCCCTCTCCTGCAAAACACGCTCGACCGTCAGAGCCTGGGGCCACAGCTCAGCCCTGCCAAGCCCCTGGCATTGCCAGGGTGCTCCCAGGCAGAGCAGGGGGGTGCCTGCCACGCCTCCAAGGAGGGCAGGCTGGTGCTGAGCAGGTTGCCTGCGGGGCCAGGGCTGGGTTCCTGCTGCTGTGGGTCTCCCCCTGGGACTTACTCTTGCTCTTTGCCTCACGCAGCTGTAGTGCCAGACTGTCCCAGCTGGACACCTCTGTGTTCTCCAGCTTCACTGGAGCCTCTGGCTCTGGACAATGAGAGGATTAAATGTCACCTTCCAGGCCAGAGCCAGACCCAAAGGCAGCCTCTCCAAGGGGATCCAGCCTGCCTGCAGCTTTGGGGCACTGGTCAGGCCTGAGGTAGTGCTCTAACCCTTCCCAGGTGGCATCCCTAGAATTGGGGTGACACTCTCACTCCTCCTGGAAGGGACTGGGACACAGAGTCCTGGGGAGGCAGGGGCAGAACCGGGATATGCAGTGAGGCCAAGGGCTGCCCTCAGGTGTGCCCAGCCCCTTCCCCACCCCATGGTGTGGGGTTCGCAGGTGCTCTAGGGTATCTTGGGTTGGCACTTGGGTTGGTCCCCGGTCTTCTGGGGATGGAAAATGGGGGCTAGGTCTGGACTAGTGAGGGGTTTCTCACCCAGGCACCCTCCTCGGGTGAGAGGCTGCTCTTGACAGTGGGGTCTGAGGCTGCTGGGCGGGCAGGAGCGGCACTGGAGGGCTATGGAGCCACTGCTCAGGCCCCTGCTGCTGCTGGCAGGGAGGAAGGGCAGCCACAGTCAGCACTGCCTCCCATCAGCAAGGGTTCTTCTCTGCGCTCCCCTAGCCAGTCCCTCTCTCCTCGGGCAGGGGTCTAACAAGCAGAGCAGATGTTTGCCTGCCCAGGGCCAGATGACAGGGCTCCACCCTCCTCTATAGCTCCCCCAGCCCTACAGCAGCCTGCCTGGATGCCACCTCAACTTGCAGGGAGGTGCAGGAGATGGTACTGGCTGACAGGAGCAGGACACAAAGGCGCAAGAGCACTTACGTGTCTTCACAGTGATGGATTTTCCCAGCGCCGTGCCAAACCTGGCACTGATCCTCCCTCTGCCATCCACCAGCTCTGTGAACCTGGGACAGGAGAGCCATAAGGGTACAGGGCACTGCAGGTCCTCCAGGCTCTAATGTGCTGGAGCTCACGGCAGCTGTGTAAAGCATTCACTGGTGGCATCAGGCTCTGTGCAAGTCCCACAGGGGAACTCTCTCAGGGTAAGGGGGGCCTGGCCGAGAACCTCAATGGGTGGGCAAGAGGCTGCACCCCAGCAGGAGCATGGCTTGACCCTGCACACACCTGGGCATGGAAACTGGGAAAAGGGACTGGCTCAGCCTAGTGCTTGGCCCGAGTGGAAGAGCCAGGAGCGCTGAGGCAGTGCTTACCTGGGGGCTGGCGAGGGCTCCTCAGCCGTGTCGTGATCTGCCAGCAGGCGGAGCTCCGGCAGGAAGGCTGGGGGCAGCCGGTTCCGCAGAACCCGGGGGTGCCCGGCTTGGCTCCACCGTCTCTCTGGAGCCCCATCCCTCTGCACTGCAGATCAAAGGATGAGGCTTAATGGAGGCAGTGTGAGCCAGCAACCGACCTCCCAGACAGTCCCATCATCCCATCCCGTCACCCCAGGCTGCCATGTGGCACACGCACACTCTCCACACACCGGGGGTGCAGATGCCCATCACCAAGCTGGAGCTCTGTGTCTGCCCTTCACTAACCCTACAACCCCCACCTCCCATTCCAGTGGAGCTGTGTCCTGTCCCCACAGCCCGCTGCAGACACCCAGTGCTGGGGCAGCAAGGGCTGGTCACTGTTGGCATACTGGTTTCCACCCCCTACCCCTGTTCCCTGTCATCCCATTGCCTCCCTTGTGCTGCAGCAGTCCAGCAGAGCCCGGGAGCACTTACAGGTGCTGACGTAGAGGTGGATGGGCTCGCTGTGCACCTGGCCTTGCTCCGTGTTCTGCACAGCTGTCAGGGACAGGTGGTAGCGCTGCCCAGGCAGCAGGTCCCGCACCGTGTAGGACACGAGCTTCCCGTTGGGCACGTAGCGGCTCTTGACGCTCTGAGCCGTGGTGACATTGATGATGTACCCCTCCATGGTGCCAGCGGGCGGCTGCTCCCACGCCATGGACACAGAGGTGGCGGTGACATGGGAGGCGGTGAGGTTTTGTGGGGGGAGAGGCCCTGCAGCAGGCAGGGGATGGGGAGGAGAGTGGTCAGAGCTGGTGTCCCTGAATGGCCCTACTTGCTCACATCACCTTACACACAAGTGTGCCAGGGCCCCAGCTTGCCTGGCACTGCCCGGACCAGCCCCGAGCCTGCTCCAGCCATGGGATGCACAGTGAGGGGATGCTCAACACTAGGTCCTTGCCAAGACAGAGCCTCAGTGCACCCTGGCACCCAGGTCAGCCCTTGCCTTCTGACTGCCAGACAGCAGGGGATGAATCCATGCATGGGGCTGGGCTTGTGCTGCTTCCAGAGACTGAACAACATTTGGCAGGGGAGGACATGCCAGTGACTTTCCTGGCCTCCCCAGCCCTGCCTACACACCTCCTCTTGCTGTGCTGGCCAGACAGTCTGGCAGCTCCCACACCTCTCCCTCCCCACAGCTTTCCTGCCAAGCTGGGATGGCAAAGGCAACCTCACTCACTTGTCCACACATGAAAAGGGGCTGTGGCCAGGCTCTCTGAGGGGTGGTCTTCCACTCCCAGGCCGCTCAGTGTCGTGACATGGATGATATACCTCTCTCCTGGCTGCAGGTCGCTGTGCAGGAAAAAGATTAGGGTGGGAAGGGGTAAGCAGGGCAACGTGAGGGAGCCAGAGCCCTGGCACCAGCAGCAGCCCACTCACAGGAAGGTGTACTTGGCCACGCTGCTGTTCAGCTCCACGGTGCGGCCTGCCAGGTCCCCCATCTGGCGGATGGAGACCCTCACCCTACTGACAGTGGAGTGCTGGAGGCGGTGCAGAGCCCACTGCACCGTGATGGCACTGGCAGTGACATTCGTGATCTCAAAGCCTTCCACCGGACGCGGTCCTGGCCGGAGCAAGCAGAGAGGACTGCGGTCATCGTGGGTCACCCCATCCCTTCCCCACGCGCCCCCAAGGGGGGTCCTGCTGGCACCTCTGGATCACCTTCCCCAGTGGAACAGCTCAGTGCCACCTCTCTCACTGCACTCCTGCTCTCCTCACAGTCTCCGGGCAGGCGGGAGGCACATCTGTCTGCCCACCCACAGGGCCTTGTGCTACTCAAAGCAGCCCCGAGGCTGTCCCCTCTGCCCCAAAGGGGCTGCAGTGCCCAGGCCCGGCCCTAACCATAGCATCATCAAGGCTGGAAGAGACCAAAGAGATCATCCAATCCAACCATCCTCCCTGTCACTGTAACCCCCTATAACCCCTAAACCACATCACCAAACATCAGATCCAGATGCCTCCTGAACACCTCCAGGGATGGTGACTCTACCACCTCCCTGGACATCCTATCCCAATGTTTGACCACCCAAAGAGTGAAACATTTTTTACTATTATTTAATGTGAATCCTGTCTTGGCTTTAAGCCATTTGTTCTTGTTCTCTCTCTGCAGGCATGACAGAATAAACCAGCCTTCACCACACAACAACCTCCTGTCAGGGAGTTTTGGAGAGTTATGAGGTCCCCCTGAACCTCCTCTTCTCAAGGCTAAACAAACCCAGCTCTCTCAGCTGTTTCTCATATGTTTTCTAGACCTTTGACAAGCCTTGTTGCCCTCCTCTGGACATGCTCCAGTGCCTCAATGTCCTTTTTAAAGTGAGGGGCCCAGAACTAAATGCACTGCAGCCTCAACAATGCCAAGTGTAGAGGGATGATCACTTCCCTCGTGCTGCTGGCCACGCTGCTTTTGATACACGCTGCTTTTGATACATTGGCCTTCTTAGCCATTTGGGCCCACTGTTGGCTCATGCTCAGTTAGCTGTCACCCAGCACCCCCAAGTCCTTTTCTGTTGAGGAGCTCTTCACCCTTTCCCCAGCCTGGAGCTGCCAGGGGTTGCTGTGACCCAAGAGTGCAGGACTCAACACTTGGCCTTATTGAACATCATGCTGTTGTCCCAGGCCTTTTTATTGAGTGTGCCAAGGTCTCTCTGCAGAGCCTTCCTACCCTCAAGCAGATCAACACTCCCAGCCAACTTGGAGTTGGCTACAAATTTACTGAGGGTACACAAAATCCGTAGGTCCAAACCATCAGCAAATACATTAAACAGGACCAGCCCCAACTGAGCCCTGGGGAACCCCACTAGTGACTGCTAAGTCCATGGCACACTTCAGGTGGCCATCCTGACCCCAACATCCAGCCGTGGCTTGAGGCCCCATGAGATGCTGTGCCCAACATCATGCTGCCATCTCCTCCCCTGGGCTTCACCTGGTCTCAGCCTGCTATGGGAGATGGGGCTTTACCACCACCATTCTCCTCTCCTCAGAGGCCATCTGCTCTCCTAATTCCCTCCATCCTGTTTGCATTTGATTTCCACATCTGCCTGCCCTCAGAAGTGGGACCAAAGCTGCTCTGCCTGTCCATGCCCCAGAGGCATCACTGTGCCCCTTCCTCCACACCAAGCCCAGCAGTATGGCAAGGTGACTGGTTCACGGTTGCAGAAGCCCCACTGCCTGCCTTGCACATGGAACTCCTCATACTCTTCTGGGCACAGTGACAAGGAGCAGAACAGCCTGACCCCAATGAACAGGGCTCAGGAGCAATCCCTGCTGCGAGCTCCCTTACAGCCCCAGGACAGGGTGAGCCACAGAGCGTCAGGCCTTTTACTCACAGCAAAGAAAACAGCGATTCTCTGTGTCAAGCACTTTCCAGAGGCCCCCAGTTGGATTTTAGGATCTGCACCAGCAAACCTGCCAGGTCTGATACCATGCTGGAGCTGGTGGCAGGCTGGAGGTGGCAGCACAAACCCTGGCACCTGCGGGGGCCACGCACGCTCACGACCGTGATCCCCCTGGGGACGCTACTCACTAGTGCGCGTGGTGAGCATGACGGGCCTGCTGATATCATTCTTGTTGTTCACGTTGCGTTTGACTGAAAAGACAGAAATATTGTAGGCTCTGCCGGAGGTTAGTGCCCGCAATTGGTGGGCAGAACGACTTCGGTCCACAAAATCTGTCCTGCGGTAAGAGCCGTCGAGGGATACGTACGTCACGGCGTAGCCGTCAATGAGTTGCCTGGCAGCTGCGTCCTCAGGTGGGTGCCAAGAAATCAACACACCAGTGTCCTCCACCCTTTCCACCTTTAATGAGGTTGGTGGCAGCAATTCTTCAGAGTGTGTGCAAAAGCAAAGGGGAGAGGTAATGCCATGAATCTTTAGAGAACAGACCCTGACAGCAAGCGGCAGAACAGCGGTGATAAGAGGACAAGGTCCTCGCTCGTCTCACTTGGCACACCTGGCGGGGCTCTCTGGGTGTAAGCCACCCCTGGCTCAGTGGGCACAGGAGGAGCCAGGGCGCCAGGAGCAGTCCCTGGTATCACTGGTGGCCAAGCACTTGCCACTGTGGGATGGGGCGAGGGGTTTGGGGGAGGCCAGTGCCAAGAGGCTTCCCTCAGACGCCTCTGCCTCCCCTCGTGAGGGCATCCGAGGGATTGCCATTGCTGCAGGGGAAACCTGTCCCCCATGTCCTGGTGCCAACCTCGGCACCTGCGGCAGCGACTCAGCATGCCAGCACCCACCCATGGCACTGGTGGGGCATGGGCTGCCCCCCAACAAGGCAAGCCCCCAGCCCTGCCCGCCTCAAGGAGTGCTGGTGGTCCTGGATGGTGTTGAGCCCCTCGTGGGCAGCGGGCACTGCCAGGCTGGTGTCAAGCCCCACATCATGTCCTGCTGCTGCTGCTGAGGGCCTTTACCTTTTTCGCAGTTCTTGCCTGTGTAGCTGACTTTGCAGGTGCAGCTGTGGGTGCCATTGCTGGGCAGGCAGTAGCCTCTGCTCCCACAGGGGCTGGAGAAGCACGGGTCACTGGCTGTGGGAGAGGTGCCAGGTTTGGCAGTGTCAGCAGTGCCGCTGACCCCGGGGCCACCCTGCGCTGCCCTGCTTGCCTCACCTGTCTCACAGTGATAGCCAAAGAAACCCTCTGGGCACACACAGAGGTAGGAGCCCCCGTAGCTCTCACACTCCCCTCCATTTTGGCAAGGGTCTGACTCGCAGGCATCCACTTCTGGAGGGGGAAGAAGGCCAACAGTGAGCATGCCAGCAGCCAGCTCCCAGCCTCCATGAATGAGCAACAGTGACAGACCCCTGAGGGGGCAGCAGGGCAGATACACAGCCCAGGGGTTGGCACAGCTGGGCTGGACACTGAAACCTGCACTGTGCACCATGGCACCCACATCCCTGGGAAGGGGCGGACACCTTGGAAAGGGAGTCTATCACTGGTGGACACTTCATTCCTCGTTCCCTCCCCATCAGAGCAGTTTCAGCTCTGCCCCCAAAACTACAGGCAAGGAGATGCAACAATGAGCAACCAGGTGATGGTTTGGGGTCAAGGTGTCCAAGACAGCGACCCCACCTGGCATGGTGCCAGCCCTGGCAGTGTCCTGGTGCCCACAGTCCAGCCTCCCACTGACCCAGGAAGAGAGCTCCTACCTGTCTCACACTGGGTCCCCAGGAAGCCCTCAGGACAGTAGCAAGCAAAGGACCCGGGGAGGTCTTGGCAGGTCCCACTGTTCTTGCAGGGTTCTGACTGGCACTCGTCAACATCTGGGGTCCAGTGGGAAGAAAGGCACCAGCTCAGCACAGGGACAGCTGGTGGCTAGGGACAGGAGCTTGGAGAGGCAGCACTATTCCCACAGGGCATGGGCCCTTCCCATGTCATTTGATTCCCAAAGCCCAGCGGCCAGAGACATCCCTGCTCCTGGATGCCCACTGCCTCAGGCCTGCCCCTGAAGAACACAGCCTGGGGACGTTCCTTCAGGGACACCTGGGCACAACTGGCAGTGTGGGGCTGTGCCAAGAGATCCATCCCATAGGGTGCTTGTGTCATGTCCCCTCATCTAACTTCCAACAGCCCACCTTCTCCTACCACTGTCCTCTACCAGATCCCAGGGAACTGGGCTGGAGCCACCTGCCAGAGTCCCACCACCTCCCACGCTGCCCATTGTCTTCAAACAGGATCAGCATCTCCCTGGTGGAAATCCTACGGTTGGCTGGGAGTCCTGGGAAAGAAGCCCTTGCCTCAGGCTGATCCAAGCACACACAGCTCCTGGTAACCTAGCTCCTTGCGATGGAGTTCGCAATCCACTGGGGCTTTCCCAAGGGCAGGAGGGTGAGGAAAGGATTGTGACAGTCCTGGAGCATGCCTGGCATGGTCTCTTACCCAGCTCGCAGTGGTAGCCGGTGTAACCTGGCTCACACAAGCACAGGAAGGCAGAGACACGGTCCTTGCACTGGCCACCATTCAGGCAGGGCTGCGACTGGCACTCGTCAATCTCTAAAGAAATTTGATCAAGGGAGAGACATGAGCACAGGACAGGGCTCCCAGGGGGGAAGGCAGCAGACAACTGGAGTACATATCCTTGTTCACCAAACCATGGTGATGACCACTGGGATGGTGTCCCAGGGCTTGCCCACTCCCCAGCACTCCTCACCATCACACTCGGGGGGGTCGCTCCAGACACCCGGCACACGGCAGACACGGGGATGGTTGTGCTGGCTGAGGATGTAGCCCAGCTCACACTGGTATTCAGCCACTGAGCCCACTTTGGTGGAGTTGAAAGAAGCCTGGGCATGCTTCACCTCACTGGGAATGCCACAGTCAACCTCTGTGGAGAGACAGGGGATGAATGGGGCCAACAGAGGCACCCCAACTTCCAAGCCAGCAGGGGAAGTGCAAGGCCCTTACCAATCTGGCAGTGCTTCCCTACATAGCCCAGGGAGCAGGTGCAAGCATAGCCCCCGCCGAGGTCCTCGCAGGTAGCCCCATTCTCACAGGGGCTAAGAAAGCAAGGGGAGGGCACTGGAAGAAGAGCAGAGCAAGGAATGAAACCAGAGCCGGCCCCCTTCCCCTTCCAGCAGGGCACAAGGAAGAGTTGCAAGGAAGGGGGCTCAAAGCAAGCAGCGAGCTCCTGACAGTCAGCCCCACCATCCCCCCAGGCAGTGGCACACCCTCCTCAAACGTACCAATCTCGCAGTGCCGGCCCGTGTAGCCTGGGGGACAGTCACACTTGTACTTGCCGATGTAGTGGAAACAGGTGCCTCCATTCTGGCAGGGCCCCGACGCACAGGGGTCCGGCTTACCTGGGGGCACAAGGTGGGCGTGAGCCCGGTGGGGCAGCTGCCACCTCTCCTCCTCCCTGCGGGGGCCGGGGGGCTGTACCGATCTCGCAGTGCTTGCCGGTGAAGCGGTAGGGGCAGGTGCAGTGGTACTCGCCATCCGCCTCCCTGCAGGTGCCCCCGTTGCGGCAGGGCCCCGCGCTGCAGAGCCGAGGCTTGGCTGCAGAGAGAGCGCCCAGAGCGGGGTCAGCCAGAGCTGCTGCCTCCCACCAGCACCCACCAGCCCTCGCTGCGGCAGGCCTGACTGCATCCTGCGGCCAGCAACACCACAAAAACTACACCCCTGCAGATGTGTGCTGGGGCCTTGGGGGCCAACAGGTGCCTGATGCTGGGAGACAGCTGGCAGAAGTTGTGGCACATAAATAAAAAATATCAACACTGACAGTGTTGTACAGGAAACAACTGGATCCCGCTGCTGCAACTGTTGGGTGACACGAAGGGAGTCATTCAATCCCTCCCTCTACCCTGCAGGACGGGACAGGAAAACCTGCACCAACTTCCAGCTCTGCAAGTAACTGTCATCTCCCAAGAAGGTCTAAGCCCTTCTCCCAACCTGTGCCAGGTGCTGGGGCCACAGGGAGCACTGTGGAGGTACCTTTCTCGCAGTGCATGCCAAGGAAGCCTTGAGGACACTCGCAGATGTAGGAGTCATCGTGAACCTTGCAGGACCCCCCATTCAAGCAGGGCTCTGAGTCGCAGGGGGACGGCATCGCTGCAGAGCCAAACACAGGGCATCACCAAGGACATTTGGCCAGGGGTACAAGGGCAGCTTCCCTTGAGGCGAGGTGAGGGTACCCCCTGCTCACCCCCACCCCAGGGCTGTTCCTGCATCCCCGTGGAGTCTTACTGTGGTTGGTGCCGTAGTTGGTGTGGCAGACACAGAGGTAGCTCCCGCCATACTCCATGCAGTACCCGCCATCCGGGCACTGCGTGTTCATGTTGCACGGTGTCGTGGTGACTTCTGTAAACACATGGCCAGTGCCAGCCGCTTTCAGTCAGTGGCAGGAGGACACCCACATGGAGACAGGAGTCTCCTAACTTTGCAGGGTCCAATGAGACAGGATGGATCCTCTGGCACAGACAGTGCAAATGGCAATGCCCAGCCTGGATGCTCAGTGAGCTTCAGCAAGGGAGTGCACAAAGGCCACAACTTCCTCCCCACCCATGGAAGCTGAACAGAGGCAGAAGGCTGGGAGAGGCACAGCTCCAAGGGAAGGAGCTGATGGAGGTGGAAGCATTGCCATATCACCAGGTAACAATATTTCCAGGCTCAAATTCAGTGTGTACCCCTGGCACTGTGCTAGGCTCAGGCATGGACAGTGTCTCCTTGCTGACCCACAGGCTGCCTGACTCAAGCATCCCGGAGGGAATGAACACAGCAGGCAAGAAGCTTTCACCTACCAAATTCACAGAGGAGACCAAAAAACCCAGGAAGGCACTGGCAGACGGTGACGTTCCCCTCCAGACAACTGCCCCCATTACGACACTCACAGCCCTCAGGGAGCTCTGCAAGAGAGGAAACAGGAGCTTCCCAGGATCTCTCCTGCTTGTGGGCTGGGACAGAAAAGCAGCCTTGCCAGATGCCACTCACGCAGGCGAGCAGCAGCCCTGAGACCCTCAGACACACAGGCACAGCCTCCTCCAGGAGGACAGACACTCTGCTCAATCCCAGAGCCCTGAACAGGCTCCCTCTCATGAGCTGCTCCCTCTCATGAGCTGCTCCCCTTGACATGCTGCACCCCACCGGCAAGTCCCCTTGGTTGTACTCACGGTCTCGACAGTCCTGTCCGGTGTAGCCCTCCTGGCACTCACAGACATAGCCCCGCTCAGTCTCCAGACAGCTGCCTGCGTTCTGGCACGGGTGGGAGAGGCAGGCGCCGGGCATGCGGGGCCCACCTGTGGGGAATGGGGAGCCTGAGCTGGACAGGTCCAGTCTGGGGCTGGAATATCCTCTGTCCTGGGGATCCTGCTGGAGGTTCCAGCATGGTCAAGCAGCCCCGTAGGAAAGTGCTCCCTCCTGGCAGCACCACGGCTGCTCTGCACATGCCAACCACCAGCTTCAGCAGTGCCTATGACTGACACAGCCCCTTTGCAGCCATTTGCCCATTCCTGCCCAGTGCCCCTGACTGCAGTCCCCATGCCAGGCTGGTCCAGGCACAACCTCACTCACCGTACTGGCAGTTGTTGCCGTAATAACCCGGTGAGCAGGTGCAGATATAGCGGCCAGGGCGGATGTAATTGCATGTCTGCCGGTTCTGGCAACTCCGGTCCTCGCAGGAAGATGAGTCTGGTAAGGGGAAAGCAAGGAAGTGAGCAGGAGGAGAGCCTGGGCTTGGGAGAGGGGCCATGATGGCCAGCAGAACACGGGGGACACAGTCCCTGCCACGGGTCATCCTGGGGCACAGGCACCTGTCTCGCAGCGCTGTCCCACAAAGGGCTCCAGGCACACACAGGTGTAGTTATCGACCAGGTCAATGCAGTGCCCGCCGTTCAGGCATGGGCTGGACTCACATTCGTTCACCTCTGCAAGAGGAGGCCAGGAAAGGTCATCAGGTCATGTGTGGGCACAGCCAGCTCACCTGGTGCCTCCCTCCCAGCCTGGATGATGCTCAGGAGGGTGAAGGCGATGGACAATAAAAAATAGGGGCCAAACACTCCCCTCCCAAAACTACATCCAGGAATGAAGCTGACTGGGAAGGAAGCTTGCCAAGATATGAAATGTCACCATCTCCATCCCATACCTGTTTCTGTCACCCACCTGTTTGGCAGTCTTCCCCTGTATACCCCAACTGGCACAGGCATGTTGCTGTCCTGTTCACCACCTGGCAACTCCCACCATTCTGGCACACCCTGTTCTCACATGGTGATTCTGCTGCAGGAGAACATCAAAAAAAGAGGGGGCAGGGGTGTCAGCCTAGGTGCAGGACTAGCACATGGCACCCTCTACACGTGGTTACAACAGGCCTAGGCAGAGCATGGTATCTTGCATGCACCTTCTGTCAGGAGACAGTGGCCATGTCCCCAGTCATGACTGTCCCCAAAACCCGTCCTTAGGCAGCTCAGCTCTTTCATCCCACCACACCTCCTGGAAGTCAGTGTGCTCTGCTGGGCTTTTCTCCCTCCCTTACTTCCTCCCCCACAAGTCAACTCCCTTCTCGCCTTTTCCACTGGCGCGGCAGCTTGCTGGGAGCCAAATGCTTTGGCGGCACTTCCACTGGCAGGCGGAGGCCAGCAGCGGGGAAAACCTGTAACCACAGCCCCTGCCAGGGACTGGGAGGGTCTCCCCTGGCTTTGAAGAGCTTGGGACCAGAGCATCACCTGCAAAAGCAGGGCCTGCAAGGCTTGTTTGAACACTGGCTGCCAGCTTTTCTGGCTAAGGGAGTGGTGGTGGAAGAGTTCTGGCAGCAGTGCTGAGCAAAGCCCTCAGAAGAGTCAGCAGAAGGAAAGGCTCATCGCCAGAGAAAAGCTTCTTCTGCCTGAAGTAAACTGAAATCCAAGCTGGCTGTCACTAACTGCTAGAGCCCATCAGCTACTGCAGGAGCCCTAGTCTGAAGAGCCCTCCCAAGAGCAGAAGTGCCCCCCAAGCCTGGGGTCTCTGCTTTTCAAGTGCTGCACTGCTCACCAGTCTCGCAGCTGTTGCCTCTGAAGCCTGGCGGGCACCTGCAGGTGAACCTGCCGGCACCGTTGAGGCAGGTGGCTCCGTTCTGACATGGGTGGGAGAGGCACTCATCCACATCTGAAACAGAGCCCCAGGTGGGGACAGGACCTCAGGGTGGGGACAGACAGACTGCCAGCACACAGCAGTGACACCGAGAGCGGGACCTGCTCCCTGCAGCAAAGCGCTCACCAACATGGCACCTCTTCCCAGTAAAACCGGCCAGGCAGGAGCAGGTGTAGGAGGGGTTCCCCGTGATGCAGTCCTCGATACATTTCCCCCCATTCAGGCAGGGCCGCAGTGTCAGGCAGACAGAGGCTGTGAGAACAGGCAGTGACCCCTGTCAGCCCCCACCCTGGCAGGGCTCACCTGCCACCTTCCAGCCACACCAGTGCCAGGGTCTTTCCCTGCACCCGCCCGGCTCCCTGGGGTGCTTGGGGAGCCCATGGGGCTGCCTGCCTGATGGCAGGGCAGGGGCTGCTCCTTGCAGACTCCCCTGGGGCAGAGGGTAGTTTTACTCCTCCTATGCAAGGGGGAGAGGCTGCACAGGTCTGCAGCCTGGCTGGGGGGAGGTCTGCTCCGCTGGCTGAGGGGACATGAACATGTCCTTACTTTTCATCCAGGGCAGAGGGAAAGGGGACGGGAGAGCCCATGTACAGAAAATCCACCGATAACGCAAGACACACAGACCACGAGTGGGAAAACACGGCCAGGGGGAAGTGGGGATGAGGAACCGGAGACCAACAGCTCTGTGAGGGACGTGCCAGGACCCCCAGAGTGGGGAGCATGGACCAGGCCCTGGCAACCTAACCCCACAGGGCAGGCTGGCATTCAGCAGCCCTCCATTCAGCTCAGCCCAATGTACGAGGACTGATGGACATATGCACCCCCAAGGGTGCTGGCCCCTCATGCCCTGCCTGGCAGTGGGCTGGCAGGGGCCCAACTGCGCACATCACCTCCTCCCCAGCCTCCCTCATCACTCCCCACAGGCTTCTTTAAACTACGAACTCTTCCTCCCCTTCCCATTCACTCTCCCAGCTGTTCCCAGCCCCAGGGCAACCACAGGTGCCATTCCCAACCACAGCTGGTGCTGAAGACAATCCCCACATAGCTGCCTCCCCTCCCTCCCCAAAGCCCTTCCAGACATCTCTTCCACCCCGCGGAGGTGGGGGTTGAGGCAGGGAAAGATGGGGGCTGGAGAACAGTGTGGGGTTGGGTTGGGAGTTAAGTAAACCTAACTGCTGTCCTCTTACTTGTATTGCTGCAGCCCCCCACTTGCACCTGGGCATCATCGATTCTGAACACCCAGCGCCCGGGGATACCCACATTTGTCGTCATCTCCACGTCAGCGATGTCATCGGTGCGGGATCCGGGGATGTTGAAGTAGCGCTTTCCATCACCAGCGTTAAAACCTGCCTGGAAGGACAAAGGCACAGAGTAAAGAGACATCACTAATGCATGGGAAAAAGGCTAGAGCACCAGGACTCATCTCTCTTGTCACACAGCACCACTGGTGGCACCACTCAGACCAGCTTTCCCTTTCCACATGCCACAGGCCAGTGCTCAGTCCTGTTCACACAACAGGACAACAGGGTGAAGTGGATGCTTAGCCTGCTCAGTCCCTTCCTGGGAATTCAAATCCCATTTGCTTCCTCTCCACCTGCAGCATCCTGCCTGCTGCAGGCTGGCAAGCAGGGAGCCAAGCACGGATCAACTGTCGGTAAATTCACACATCCAAGTGGGTACTGGGGTTTTTGCGGGTGTGGGTGTTGGCTTTTTTTCCTTTTAACACAACACACACAGGGATGAAATAAAACTACAAGCAAAAGCTGTGCTAGCCATGGCAGCTGCTCTTAAAGGCTGGGGTTAGGAAGGAAAAGGGACTATGAAGTGGCAGCCAAGGCAAAGATCTGTGGTTTCGGGATAACAAAGCCCCCTGTATGGTCTCAGCTTTGGGAGCCAGAGCACACACAGATATTTAAGAACTCTGAAGAAGAAAAAAAAAACAAGCAGGGGGAGATTTTCCACCTCCAAGAAACCCAAACAGAAGCCACGAGCTCAGAAGGCGGATGTGCTACCCAGGCACCCCAGGGGCTACATTTGCCACTTACCTGTGCTGCGATGCCACCGAGCCCAGCAAAGTCCCCCCCACTGCTGGCGTGCATACCCGTGGTCCAGGTGATGGACTCATAGTTAAAGATGGTGAAGGAAAGCTTGCCATCCGTGATGAGGACAATCTGGAAAGTGTTTACCTGCAGCAGGGAGGGGAGGAAAGCAGTGAGGGACGATGAACCAGTCCTAAAATAAAGTGACAGAAACTACATTCAGAAAAGGGATCTTTCCTTCAACCCCAGTCCTCCTCTATGAGCAAGGGCATGAGAGTTTAATTATTTTTAATCCTAACTTGTTGCGATCCTGAGCTAGAATAGCTCACTTCTCATCCCAGAGGAATGGGAAAAATGGGGGAAAATATGGATATTGAGCATCTGGAAGGCAAAAGGTGCCTCACTTTTGCCCAAGAAGGCTGATGATGTAAAGCCTCCACAAGGCACAAAGAGGAGGATTTGGTATTGCTCGCCCACCATTGCTCTGTCACAGCAAGGTACGGTGACGGAGCCATCACGGCCAAGATCATGGCCAAGAGCTCTGCTGACAGCTCTGGGCCAAGCGGAAGGTCTGGCACCACACTGAAAGCACACAGGTGGGTGGCTGCTCTGCCTCAGCTACTCACTGGTGAAAATGAGTTGCCCCCGAAGAAGGTGACTCGGTACCAGGTTGCAATGAAGACCCACTGTGCAGAAAACCCTGGGAACTCAGGGAAATACTGGGCAATGTCCCTGCTCGCTCTGTCCAGGATGGGCTGCTCGGTGCTCTCTCGGTAATATATTTCACCTGCCCGCCGATTATCCACATCTGCCCAGAAAGCAGCAACCACACGCCGGTCCTTGGAGATGGGGAAGGCCACTGGTGTGAACTGGGAGACCTCCTTCAGGAATGAGATGATCCCATTATTGTTTACCTGCAGAGAGGAAGGGAAAGAAACGGGTGGCCACAGGTGACTCCTGCTGCCAGCAGGAATCCATGTTTTAGAGGTGCTTTCCATTTCATCTTTCTCTCCCCCACCCCTTTCCACAAACATTGGAGCGCTTCCCCTTCCTGTCCTTAGAAGCAGAGACGTGCCTCAGCACCCACAACACCCCCAGCCCCCCGCCCCAGCCGCCTGCTCACTGGAGCGCGGCTGCGGGCCGCTGCCCGAACAAACCCAGCCCTGTTCTCCGGGCCAGGGGAAGGGGAACAGCTGCAAAAACTGCAGGAGCCCTGCGCATAAAACAAACAGTGCCCGGTGCGTGGGGCCAGCTCACGGCGCTGCTCTTGGCAGGGGAGAGGGGCTCAGCTCGCTCCCCAGCCTCACGGCTCACAGGCAGCCCATGGGGCTGGACCCTCCTGCAGGGGGGCTGTGGGCACGGGCCCAGCGTGGGAGGAGCCTTGCTCCACGCACCCACCGGCATGCACAGCACCCCGGGTGAGCCAACGCGCTCTTGATCCCCGGTGAGCAAGCGCCGCCACCCCATGCAAAGCTGCTCTCGTTAAAGTGGGGGATGCCAGACCCCCAGGATGAGATACTTCAAGCTGTTCCTCCTCACTAATTGGGGCAGTTAGGGTTCTGGGATGCCTGGCCCACGGATGCATGGCAGAGGCAGCCTGAGCACAGGGAAGGAAACTGGAACTAGTGGATGTTGCTGCCTGGAGTGCTACCTCCCAACTTGGGGATGCAGTGGGAATGAGGAAGGTGAAGAAACTCCCTGCCTGAACAGGGAACTAAGGGAAATGCTCTCACCCTGAGCTCCCAAATTCCCTGGAGGAGACCCTGCCAGCACTCTGCCACAGTGCCACGACTGGCAGTCCAGTTAGCTCCAAGCCACTCTGTTCCCCAGCCCACAAGCAACCGTGGGACAGGCAGGAACACACAGACTCCAGCCAAGTTCTCCAGGCAGGATGGAAAAGGGGGCCTGGTACAGGCAAGAGGCTCTCAACTGGAGAGAGCAGCTCTGGCACGCGGGCAGGCAGTGGTGTCACACTCCTGTGCCAAAAAGGAGCTGGGAGCCAGCATCCCCAGGAGCCGTGTGGAAGCCGGAGTGCCTCCACCCCAGCTGCCAGCACACCGAGGCACGGGGGACTGAGCTGTGACGGCCTCGTGCAGTCCCTGGGGGAGGTCCCCAGTCCCTGAGGAGGGTTCATAGCCCCTCCATTTGAACACAGGGCAGCCCTTACTGTGACTAAGGGAAAGAGGATTCTGTTTTCCCAAAGCCTCCGTAACCCCACTGTGTCCGCAGAGGAACATTCTTCCCTTGATTAAAGCAAGATGGGAGAGAACCAGAGCCAAGAAGGGCTTTTTTTGTTGTTGCTGTTTTTTGTGAAGGAGGAGGGGGGTGGTTGGAAGCAGCCCTTGAGAACAGAGGTTTCCAGGTGAACTCAGCCCTGTGCCAGTCCCCCAGGACAGCAGCTCTCTGAGGAGGAGGGCCCCTGCCACAGGGACTTCTGTGCTGGGGGCAGGCAAGTTGGCCCTGCAGAGCCATGGGGTTTAGCTCAGGGAAAGGGGATGCACCGTCCTCTGATCCCTGCAGCCCCTCCAAGACCTAGAGCTACACTCTGCATTCGCATGGGACAACCATCACGTCACCTGCCTTCTCCCAGCCCCTTCTATCCTTCCACAGTGGCTCAAGCCCCAAGCCTGGATCCCTCCCACCCGACAGCAGGGCTGGTGCCGTGATCAGGGGAAAAACACGACCAGGTAGGATCAAGGACCCCCTGTGCTGAGCCAAGGCAGTGGAATGGTACATGAGCCCGGCTCTGGGATGGCATCAAGGCAGTGCTCAGCCCTCTCCTCTGCCACCTGGGTCTCGGCCATCATTAAGCCCAGAGCAAACCGGGGATCAGGATACTGAAGGATTCACTGTGCCAGGTGGAAACAGCCATGGGGAGCCCAAATCTCACTTCTGGATGCAAGACAGCACCACTCAAAAGACTCCACGGACAGCCAGGCACTTGGGCTTGCCCCTCTGGCCACAGCCACAGGGGACATGATGGGCCAGGCATGATTCGAGCTCTTTGGCCACAGTCCCCTCCCGGTGGCTTAGGGGCTGCAAGGGTGTGTGTCACCAGTAGTCCCAGCAGCCCAGTGTGTGCAGGGAAAGGCAAGGGAATCAGATGTGCCGAGTGGGCAGCCCAAAGTGCAGCTGTCTTTATTCTAATCACACCCAGAGCCCCACCAACACCCCTCTGCAGCCGCAAGGGCCACCAGCCAGGGGCCACCACGCTAGGGCTGCAGCACACCGACTCTGGGCTCTTGCCCACCAGACGTGTCCAGCTCCCTGCTGTCGGGATCCCCCAGCATGTCACCAAGCCAGTCCCACACCGGGGCACGCAGGTAACGCAGGCTCCAGCAGGGCTAAGCCCAGGCTCCCCACCGAGGCTGAGGGCTTTGCCCAGCACTCCCAAGGCACTGGGGCCAGGATCCTCGCTGCGGACCCCCACGCTGAGCCCAGGGCCCAGCCGTCATCCTCGGCACACCGCTACTCCTCTGATGTTTCCAGGGAACTGGGGACCACCTGATGGCCCCCAAGGAAACTCGGATTCATCCAAGCAGGACAGGAAAGGGGAAATAAGAGAAAGGGAAGAGCAAGAATGAAACAGAAAAGAGGCAATTAGAGGGAGGGGAAAAAGAGGGACTAGGAGGAAATAAGCAGAAATAAGTGGAAATTACTCACATAGAGGCCGGTGTGCCCCGCACCAAAGAAGGGGAAGGGGATGGAGAGGGGCCGGAGCTCGGAGCCACCGTCGTCCTGCTTCCGAGTGGCGGCGTCGCCCTGGGCCGGCCCGAAGGGGTAGAAGTCCCCGAGCGGCACCTCCGCGGCGGCCCACAGCCACTCGCCCAGTGCCACCAGCACGGCCCAGCCTGCCAGGACCTGCATGGCCGCCGGCACTGCCGCTCGCCTCTCACGGGGGCACCAGCCACGGAAGCATGGCGGGGGCGGGGCAGGGCGGGGCGGGGCGGGGCAGGACGCCGGCGGAGGGGCACGGGGAGGGCGGTGGCTGCTGCTGCCGCCGCCGCCGCCGCCGCTGCCCGGAGCCGGGCGCTGGGAGCGGTCCCGCAGCGCGGAGCAGAGGCCCCTCAGCTCCGAGGCGCTCCGAGCGCCCTCACCCTGCCGGCCACGCCCCCGCGCCTCATTTGCATAGTCGGGGTGTGGCCGGCCAATGGGCGCGCGGCGCGCGGAGGGCGGGGCTCGGGGGCGGGGCTCGGGGGCTTCCCGGGGCGCGCGGGCGGCGGGGGCGCCCCCCGTGCCGCCCCGAACCCGCGTGGGCACCGCGCCCCCTCCGCGCCCCCTCCGCTGTCCCCAGCCTGCCCTGCCCCCTCAAAACACAGGGCTGCATGGCGAACAGAAAAAGAGTGAAAGAGAAAAAAAACTGGGTCATTTCCTTCTTTTTCCTGTTTTTTTGGCTTTTTTTTTCCCCTCCTCTTTCTCCCTCCCTTCCCCCCCCCCCGCTTTTTTTTTCTTTTATTTTTTTTTTTTTCAGGTGCTAAAAATATTATCAGGAAATTCTTTTCAGGAATGCCGTGTTTTAGGTTACAGTCCAGGCTCAAAGGCTTCTTTGTCTTTACTGGAGGAAAAAAAAAAAGCAAAGCAAAACAAACACACCCACCCCACATTTATTATCGGGAAATGGTTTGACTGGGAGAGGCTGAGCTCCCAGGAAAGGCGAGGGCTACTCCCAGGGAAGCCCCACTAAAAGCACCAATGGTTCTGAATAATTATCAACTCATGATGGGGCCCAAAGCTGGACCCCAAGATCAGCCTGACTCCTGGGATGCCAGTGCATGCACCAGTGGTCCAGGACCACAAGTACCCCCGGCAGGCAACCCTGTCTGATCCCTACTGCCGATCCCAGAGAGCGGATCCTATCACTTTAAAAATCTCTTGGAAGAAAATGTTAAAAGAAAAGGAGAAAAAAAAAAAAGAGAGAGAGGGAGAGAGAGAGAGAGAAATCCAAAATAAATAAGCAGCCACATCCGGATTTCTCCCCTAGGACGCTAATAAAGGTTTTATGGGTTTGATATGAATTACCCTCCCTGGCCATTCATTGCTGATTTTCTGGAAGGCATTAGGCTGCACAGCCCAGCCCCAGCCCTGGCTGAGGTGGGATGCAGCAGGGGCACTGCCATCCTCTGCCACTGCCAGTCTGTGGCTCTGCCATGCCACAGACCCTTCTCTTGACTGCAGGCCACCTTCTGGCTGCCACCATCTACCACCTTGCACCCACCAGAGCGAGCCCTGCGCTCCCAAATCCCATCTGCTGGCTCTGCCATGCCTGCCACAAGCTCAGCTCCCAAGGAACACGGGTGTTGTGGCAGACCTGCCCCTCCTCCAGAACCAACCCCACAGGGCCATCCTGGGCTTCTCCTGGTAGGTGTTACCTCGAGGGAGGGGAAGGGCGGCCATCCCAAGCGTGAGGGGAGGATTTTCTTCCAGGCAGGCTTTGCACAGGAAAGCATCACCACATTCCCCCCTGTTGTCCAGCCCAGCTCCCCGGGACGTTAAATTGGAAGCAGTAAATGGAGCAGGGAGAACAGCTGCGGGCCCCAGCTGCAGACATTTCCTCTGGGCCTGGAGCTGGAGCCAGTGCAAAGCTGGGCTCTGTGCTGGGAATGCTGGGGGGAGTGTGGGGGAAAGCAGCCCTTTCTGCACAGCATCTGGCCAAGCTCTGTCCTCCACCACCCACTCCATCTCCAGCAACAGATGCCCCTTGCTGCCACCGCCTTTATGGTGTCCAGCTCTTTGATGGCCACCAAAACGGGGCCAGGACCTGCCCCACCCATCCCAGGGGGTGGCTCTGGTGAGGCTGTGCAGGGGACCCTGCAGGTCCCAGGGGGATTCTGGACTCTCACCCCAGCTTCAGCTGGAGATGCTTCCCGATGAAGAACCACCTCCAGGAGGGAGAGGTGGAGGCAGGGATGCTTCTGCTGACCCCAAGCCTGTCTCTGCCTGGCATCCCAGTTTCAGGGCTGCCCCAAATCCACAGGGAGTCACCCCCTGGCTCCTCCTGCCCAGCACTCACAGCCCCACAGTGGAGCCCAGTACCTCCCAAAAAAGGCAGCCCTAGAAAGCCACAGGGAAGGAGCACGAAGCCCTACCCACCCCCAGCCCTGTCAGAGCTCCTGCTGGGGGGACGGGACATGTGGAAGGGGCCTGGGGAGCTGTTAATGATCCAGAGCGCATTCAGCACGGATCATTCAGGCAGAGGGGACTGCAGGTCAGCACATGGTTTGGATTTGGCTCTCCCCTCCCTTCCAGCTAATTGGGCCAAGCCCAGAGAGCATTCCTTGCGGATGCCAAACACGTGTGTGGCACAAGCATCACCTCCTGTGGGGGGAGAACTAGTCCTGGAAGCTCCTTCCCCAGGGTGGGAGAGGCAGCCAGGTAGACCAGGGAAGTGTGTGGGTGTTTGAGGGGAGCTGGGGTTTAATGAAAGGGTTTGAACTCGTTGTCTGGCCCAGGCTCAAAGAATGCAGCAAAGCAGATCACGCGCATGGATGTGGGTGGTGGGAAGGGGCTGGAGGGCAGCCAGGAGGATGGAGGTTACTGCAACACCCAGCTCCCACTCCCCCAAACCCCCAGCAACGCCTGCTCCACCCCACAGGGCCAGGAACAGGGGGGACCTCTTCCCCTCTCCCATCCTGCCACCTCCTCCTGCCACCCTGGGACCCTGCTGAGCCCCAGGCGTCTGGTGGCCACCTGTCACCTGAGCTGTGCTGGCAGGGATGCTGCTGCCTTGCAGTTGTGTCCCCTCCCTGCTCCTAGGGGAGTCCCAAATGAGCAGAAGGACATGGGCCTGGGGGGTTGTTCCAGGTGCTGCTCCCCTGGGAAGCTCAGGACTGTTCCCTGGGGGACAGAAGAGGAGCTGTGGCTCTGCCAGCCACCGCTGACACCAGCACAAACGGGGATGTGCAACCCCTGAGATGGACACAAATCCTCTTCCCTAGGGCAAGCCCTGGCCCGAGGCTCTTGCCCCACCACTGCAAAGCCAAGGTTTTGAAATGCTGGGGGTGCTGCTGGCTCTGGAAGGATGGGGAGGCTATCAGGGAGTGCCCCAGCAACCTGGAAGCACCAGGGGTCACCCTGCCAGCTCAGCTGCCACCCTGCCACTCCCCACACCAGCCCCTGGCCTCAGGGAGCACAGGGACACAGCACTTCACCCAAGGATATCCTCAGCTCCTGGGGCAGTCCCAGTGTAGGGAACAGTGCCAAAACCAGGACATGAGGCTGAAACCAGAGCCTGGTGAAGTCTCTCCCTGGCTGAGGCTCCTGCAGCAGGCAGCTGGGTTAATGGCAGTGAAAGCCAAGCCACCACCAGCTTTAATGAAGACTTCAAGCCTGTTGTGAAGCCACATTGGCAAGTGTGGCATCACGCAGGGCTGGGGCTGGCCACGGGCACCTCCAGCATTGCAGCGGAGCATCGGGAAGTAACATCGGCTTTCCCAATCCAGCTGAAAGCTCCTCGGATGTTCTGCTGCTTTGATTATTTGACAGACCATGTTTTTTAAATTATTCTTGTATAAATATTTACGCATTTTTACAAGAACCATGCTTTGAGCAGCGGGCCACGGCAGATGAAGGGCCAGAGGGGAGGGGGCTGGATGCTGCCTTGCTCCATCCCTCTCTGCAGGTCAGCTGGGGGTTGAGCAGAGCAGCAGGGATGCAGGGCAGCACTCCTGCCTGGGGCCCCGGGCAGTGCTGGGTGCTGACAGCACACACACAGCCCGCCACCCCCTGTGATCCTGCCTGTCCCCCTCCCTCCCCAGGGAACAGAGCCCAGCCAAGCAGGGACGGCCCGAGGCCAAAGCCCTGCACGGGAACGCAGGGCTGGCTCTGCTGGGAGCCCCACGCTGCCCCACACGCCCCATCCCTGAGCAGCTTCCAGAATACTTCCCACAAACACCCTGAGCCAGAAAACCCCACTGGCAGCAGGGGCTGTTGGCAGGGTGGAGATCACTTCTCCACTGCCCACTCCCACCTCGGCACTGCACCCCAGCCCACCCCAGCCTCAGAGCAGAGCAAATAAATACCAAAACCCCCTGTTTTTTTCTGGGGCCCCCATATCTGCCCCCAGAGCCCCTGGTCTGCAGGGATAGTGCCTGCAGCAAAGTCTGCTGCTGGGCTTCCTGGTGGGAACCCTCTCTGCCAGCCCTGTCCTGCTCCCCAGGATTGTTGCTGTGGATTTTGGGAAGGATAAGGGTGAGCAGCCCCCCTCCCCCATCCACAGATGGGATCCACAACCCAGCCTCGAGTTTTCCACCGAGCTCAGCAGAAATTCACCCAGAAGGTCAGTGACCAGAGAAAGGGATGATCCATCATTAAATAAATTGTTTTCATTTCCCAGGATAAAGGGGAGGAAAAGGGGAGGAGGGGAGGTGTTGTTGGATCAGGACTGGAAAATAAAAGCGCACAAGGCAGGAAAACCACCCCCTGCACTCCCCGCAGAGAGCAGCCCCAGCTCCTTCCCTGCGCCCTCACAAGAGTTTTACAGCCAAAGCTCTTAATGTGATTATAATAATTATTTCTTTCCTAGCAATTGCCCCCCCCACCACGGTTGTTGGCTTTTTGGGCTTTTTTTTTTTTTTAATTTTACTAAACAGCCTATTTTGAAATGTCACTGGGGGAAGCCAAGACTCCAGCTGAGCCCTGGCCTGGAGGAAGGAGCAGGGGCAGGGGGAGCGTGCGAATGTGTGTGCGTGCATGCAGCCAGCGTGCGCGCGTGGGAGCGTGGGCACCTCGGGGACACCCCGCTGCAGCCTGCAAGCACACCCTGGCCTTGAAAACCTGCCCGTGCCCCAGGCAGGAACAGACAGGGGATTCTTCTCCCCCCCTCTCAGTCTGGGTCCCCCCCATCTCGCACCCCTCATCTCCCACCCCTCTGTGTGGTCCCCCCCAAGCCTCGGGGCCGAGCTTTGAAATCTGTTGAAAAGAGACCCTTTTTGCCAAAATAAACAGCCTGTCATGTTAAATTACTCTCTCTTCCTCTCTACCTTCCCTGCCTTTGTCCCCCCTCCCCATCCCAGCCATTTTGTTGGGGGCCGTGCCACTCTGGGGGCCTGTGGGGTGCAGAAGTGTTGGTGCTGGGGCAGAGCATAACCTGCC